TATTTTCTGTAACTTCTATGACATAATAGCTTTCTTGTCAAGTCTCTCTGTGCCCTTTTAAGCAATTTAAGGATTTTTGTTATTTAGTACTAACTGCTGAATACCTTAGAGGTAAGATCTACGAAACTTATCTTTCTGACACCACAGACTCATCACAGAACACTGGTAAATCACTAAGCTACTTTGGCATCAGCGGCGGCCGTGGCAAGGTTCTGAATTAAATGGAATTAAGTTGCAATACTCAACCAGGTTGCCAATATATACTCAAACCAGATTTTATATATATCGGTTTCCACCCTGTACATTCTGCGCCAACTGCAGAAATAACCATAACATCGTACCCATGACCCTACTTGACTCACTGTGCAACTAATGAAGACTCAATCCATCACTTGCCCCTTGATAAGGGCCGCCCTTACTCTGGTGGTGTGGGTTTGGGCCATCGGTTTAGCATGTTGTGCATTTTGCGCTGACTTCGTGAGGGTATTATTAGCCATTCAGTTTAGTCAGCTTAGGATTCTGAATAATTATAGAAGGGTCTTGGTTATTTTCCTTTCCTTTAGGTATAATGGTCGACAGGATCTCTTTCACTCGCAGGTGCGGTTGAGCCTTTGGTTTGGGGTCTTGGCTGAATTGCCCTTTTGGATCTTAGAAAATAGGTCAGAAGCAGTGAATTTCTACCTAGGTAATTTGAGTTAGACTTCTGCCATCTAAGACCTCTATTAGTTTTCTTCCTATATGCACACCAAATATCACCTTAATGTGCTACTCTCTATTTAATCTTTGAAATCTCAAGATCAACCAATCAGTTATCACAGATTCCTGCAGGTCAGAACACTCTGATTAATCCTCTGCCCAGTGACTATTGTGCTAATTAAATCCACCTTTATATCTAACGGTTAAGCACTGATTCCTGCCACTTTTAGATTCCGTTATTCCTACTGGGATCAAAAAACACAATCCCATGGCACCATCCCCTACCAGCACTTCTGGCATTGAGAAAACAGCTACAATAGAACTCTTCAAAGGGCTAGTAAGGGGAAAATGCTATTGCCATTGCTGGCCCTGAAAAGATGAAGGGAAGGTACAGTTACATGGACCCAGAAACAGAGCTGTATGAAGGCTGCCTGAAAGAAGCTGTGCCCCTTGGTTGAGAGATACAAGAGCCCACCAAGATCCCCCTACATTCCCTAAGGGTGAGAGTCAGGGCAATAAATACCTCTCTTTCACCTTTCTCCTTCCCTCTCTTCTCTTTACTGTGTTTCCTACTGTCCAAAGCCAACCAGAAGCCAGAAGGCAAAGGAGCAGGTTAGAAAAGGGTGAAAAGTGGATCTACAGGAGAAAACATAAGTGTGCAGCGCCACTTCCATCACTCATTATGATGATATAAATTATTACATTTAATTTTAAAACATTTTTTCTAGTTTTTTTCCCCCTGTGAATTAAAAGGATCATGTACCTGCTATCTGAGTAATAGCTATACCCACTGTCACAGTGCCTTAATAATATAAACCCAGAAACCATGGCTTTTCTTCTGATAAATAGATGTCCAGAATGGAATGATGTTACTTAAACTTTTAAAGTCTGTGGTACAATAAAATATTTTAAACAAAATATCTACGAATGTTTCTTCCAAATAAAAACTGAAATAAAAGGTAACCGAAACATCAAAAGCAAATGAAGTTATTTCATCTAATGAAGTGATGTTTTAGTATTTCCCATTGCTGTATCATAGAATAGTTTTTTATTTAATCATCCTTTTACATACTTTATGGCATACCTGTGAGTAAACTGAACATTAGTATTTTATTAAAACATGATTTAAGATACACTTTTACAGAAACGCAGAGATGTGCAACCTTCCTAAGTAAATTATTTTAAATATACAACATAATAAAGTATATATTCCTTTATTAATTTTTAAGCACTAATATTCAAATATCTAAGCTTTCAAATCTCTAAGCTTTCTTTATATGGTCATTTTTAGTGGTGGTGAGGATTTTCAAAAGGAGCTTTTGTTTGCTTATTTGTTCATATTCTGGTTTTTTGATTCAGGAAATCTGGTTATTTCTGAATTTATAAGATTATAGCTTTCTTGTCAAGTTTCTCTGCACCCTTTGGTCTATTCCCTTCAAGAATTAAGATTTTTTATTTAGTTACTAAATTGTACTACCTAGAAGTCAAGATCTACAAACTTACCTTTCTGACACCACAAGGCTCAACACAGAACATTGCAAATAGTAACTACTCAGCAAGTGTTGAATTAAATGGAATTAGTTGCAATACTTAGACCAGATTGCAAATTAGAGAAAACACTATACCAGGCATTTTACTTCTGTGTGTGAAAAAAAAAATCAACTGTATAGTAAAGTACACTTGGCTACTTTGGTCTCCATTAAAGTCAAATAAAATTATTTACTTCTACAATTTAAAAACAGAAAAAGATAACTTGTCCTGATTGTATGTGTATGCTAAGTGAAACAAAAGTTTAAAAGTATACTAGGTTAGTGGGAAGTAAGGGGTCGCTATAACTTTATATATGTCCTTATATATCTTTATCAAAGCATCTCATGCATGATAGTGTATCTTCATGTAAATATATGTATAAAGTTATACCAGATGGCAAATTAACTTGAGACGCTAACTCTTAATGATCCTATTTTTAGAAAATAAAAACTTCAAAGAGTTTGTATTTCAGTCCAAGACACTTAAAACAGACATACTTGGAACGAGTGCAGCTTAAAAAATTAGGAAAAACACAACTTACAAAAATGGAAATTTGTTTCACTTAAAAACTGAATTATTAAGAAATGTCAGGTTAAAATGCAATCCCAAGCATCAGAAAACTTCACTGGAGGCTGGGTGCAGTGGCTCCTGCCTGTAATACTAGCACTTTGGGAGGCCAGGGTGGGCAGATTACTTGAGGTCAGGAGTTCGAAACTAGCCTGGCCAACATGGTGAAACCCTGTCTCTACTAAAAATACCAGAAAAATTAGCCAGGTATAGTGGCGCATGCCTATAATCCCAGCTACCCAGGAGGCTGAGGCAGGAGAATTGCTTGAATCCAGGAGGTGGAGGTTGCAGTGAGCCGAGATCATACCACTGGACTTTAGCCTGGGTGACAGATCAAGACTCCAGCTCAAGAAAAAAAAAAAAGAAAGAAAGAAAAAAGAAAGAAAACATCAGTGGAATTTAGTTCTGCAAATCCAAGAGCAAATTCTGGAGATTTTGGATGATTTTAATCAGCTCTTCTATGTTAACCATTCACAACAGACTATCTCAAAATTCAATAGCTTAAGCCTACAATCGTTTATTCTTAGATGTCCAGAGGCTAGGTTGATTGATCTAGGCTGGGCTCTACTGGGAGGCTCTGCTTCAGTATGAGACTTTGCTTCTTGTCAAGGGCTGAGCTCAGGTAACTCCACATGTACTCGTTCCAGGTGTCAGGCAAAGGGAGAGCAGTTACCTGGGGGAGGCTCTTCTCTTTGTGAAGATAGAGGCTCAAGAAGTCAAGCCTCACTGAGCAAGCACTTTTCAAGCATTTGCTAGTGTCAGTTCCACTAATGTCCCATTGGCCAAGATCAACGAAGCAGGGAAGTCTACTTTGCCCTCAAGGAGAAGAGAGGAGTGGATATTTGTTGAACAATAATCCATTGGATTATTGCTGGACAATAATCCAATAATTATGACTAATCCAACTATAGTCATAGTGCTTTTCATACTTTTCAGGATTTTTTGGTAGTGAAAGTTTTTGGTGCCTCTGCTCGTGAATCTTTTAAAATTAATACTAACTCATAAAGCATAGAAATTCATGAATTTCTCTCATGACATTGGAATTTTGTTTGGCTTTACTTTGAAAAGTAAATGAATGACAGATTTTTTTATAATCTTGCTTCTAGCTTCTTCCTCCTAAATTTTTTTTTTTTTTTTTTTTTTTTTGAAACGGAGTCTCGCTCTGTCGCCTGGGCTGGAGTGCAGTGGCCGGATCTCAGCTCACTGCAAGCTCCGCCTCCCGGGTTTATGGCATTCTCCTGCCTCAGCCTCCAGAGCAGCTGGGACTACAGGGGCCCGCCACCTCGCCCAGCTAGTTTTTTGTATTTTTTAGTAGAGACGGGGTTTCACCATGTTAGCCAGGATGGTCTTGATCTCCTGACCTCGTGATCCACCCGTCTCAGCCTCCCAAAGTGCTGGGATTACAGGCTTGAGCCACCGCGCCCGGCCACCTCCTAAATTTTTAAAATAAGAGGTTGTTAATTTAATAACAATCCAATCTGAGATGAAAAGTAAAGGAAGGGGAAAAAATAGGGGCAATTAATGAAAGAACTTTCCTTTGTATTGTAAGAGAACTTTTCAAATCCTCTATTAAAGTTATCAGGCACTCTCTTGTGACCAAAGCATTACTAAATTATACAGTTTTTCCCATAACAGGTAGTTCAGGTTCAAAGTTCGTATTCGTAAAATGTATATATCTTCATCAGTGTTAAGTTATAGGTCTAGTTATAGCCTTGTTCTTTAAGAACTCTAAATCAAAACTCCATTAAACTCAAACAAAACTATTTACTACTAAAAATTAATATGTGTTGTACAGATTTTAATTAGCTCAACAGATATAGGAAACTAATAAAGAGTCAGAGTTTATGTTTTTATATATTCTACATCAAGGATTCTGAATAAGTACTTAAAGAATAAAAATGAAATTATGTTTAGATCAATGATCTTTAAATAATTATATTAATATATTTAGGCACTTTCGTTTTAGCAGTTGTAATTTCACAAGGTTTCAAGTATATCTTTCCCTAAGGAATAGAGGCTCCATCTCAATTCAAAATTCCAAGTTTGAAAGCATTTTACTTTCCAGTTGAATGTAATATTAATCATTTCAGTTCTTCAGTTAAATGAAGACATTTAGAACATAAGTAATGAAATGCTATATTAATCTTTTTAAAGACTTTCATAGACTAAACCAATATTTGCTAAACCAACTAAACTAAACCAACATTTGCACTTGTTTATAAAAGGAGGAGTTTATTAGAGGTAGAGATTACTATTATTTGCTTGTTCTATGTTCTCCTATAGGCACAAGCATTATTCCATTTCAGAAGAAACGACTGACTCATATGTCTGGGTGGATGGCTCTGATTCCAAATGCAAAACACATTAACTGGTATTTTAAAGGTGTGGATCACATAACCAACATTTCATATACATCAACATTCTATGGATTTAAGGTAAAAATATTTATCTTCTAATGATTATAATTGCGTATTACCCAAACACAGCCTACATCCTCATACTTACTCACACACATTGACAGGCCAGAGGGACCTTTTATCACAAATTGACCTGTTGAAATCCTGCACATTCTTCACGAACCATTCTGAATCTAAGAAGTAAGACAAAAAAAAATTCATTTGAGAATCAGAAGTAAGCAATCTTTCTGCCACGTTGCTGTAGTACTAAGCTTATTCCTCTGTCATTATTACCATGATAATAACTTACCTTTACTGAGTGTTTATGATATCTCAGGGATCAGCAGTTAAGAACTTTATTTTTTATATCATGAAATAGATCAACCATACCTGAGGTCAAGTGTTGGAGACCAGCCTGACCAACATGGTGAAACCTTGTCTCTATTAAAAATACAAAAAAAAAAAAAAAAAAAGCCAGGTGTGGTGATGGGCACCTGTAGTCCCAGCTACTTGTGGAGACTGGGGCAAGAGAATCGCTTAAACCCAGGAGGCAGAGGTTTCAGTAAACCAAGATCACCCTACTGTACTCCAGCCTGGGCAATAGAGGGAGACTCCATCTCAAAAAAAAAAAAAAAAAAAAAAAAAAGGCCACTACCTAACTCTATCTAAATCTAACATTCTGTGAATATTTACTTTCTAATTTATATTAAAAAAAGGTAGATGAAGTGGAAGCCCTCTGTATTATTTACTGTCATCTCATTTCCTATTCTCCACCTCTAATGGTAGCTAGTATCCTGAATTGGATGTTTTCCATCTTATACATGTTCTTCCACTTATACTACACATTTGTGCAGCATTGTTTTAAATATTTTTAAACATTATAGAAATAAAATATTGTCTACAATTGTATCTGTCAATTTTTAAAATAAAATATTTTCTAAATGTATGCATACATACATCACATATATATGTGTGTATGCATATATATACACTATACATGTGTATACTTAATGTATATGTGTATATATATACATACACACAGGAGAGAGAGATCCTTTCATTGCCTTAGTGACAGAACTAGCATTATTGTCATAGACATGTAAAATGTTAATAAACAAAATAGAAATTCAAGACAAAAAACAAACTAAAGCCAAAACTTTTAAATCTTAACATAATATAGGGGCTAACTATATATCATTAAAATTAATGTGTCATATGAAGAATATTAACATACAAGTGACATTTTTCTACAAACTTTTATAGGAAGAAGACTATGTAATTATATCACATAACTTCACTCAAAATCCTGATATGTTTAATATTATTGATATGAGGAATGGTTCCTCAAATCCATTGAATTGGAATACTAGCAAGAATGGAGACTGGCACCTTGAAGCAAACACTAGTACTCTATATTATTTGGGTATGTGTCATTAGGCAGAAGTGATATTTTATCTGATGCTTTGTCTAAAGGATGAGAAAAATTGCTTAATAAGCAAATGTGTTGTACAGTGCTTAATATATATAAGATTTAATAAATGTTTGCTGAATGGAAAAACTGGAGAAAAAAATTATTCTTGAAAAGGATTTGAGTTGAATTAAGAACTTTCATTTTATGTTGAAGGTGACACCAGCATGCTTACACATTGACAGTTTTATTTCATAGACTTAGAGAGAATGAATACAATGGAAGCTGGTATATATTTTGTTTCCATTTTTATTATTTAATTATTTGGAAAATTAAAATATGTAAGAATAAATTTTAATTAAATTCTAAAACATTCATTTTTATCAAAATATTTGACTATGTATGTCTTTATAATATGTACATCATCAGAATTTCTCCACATCTCTTCCATACATATGAATTATAATTCAAGTTACTACCTAAAGAACATTTTCCAAAATGCCATAATTTTGTTTACATTCAAGTACTTTGGTCACTATGTTCATTTAACCCATTTTTACTTTTTACTTCACTTTCAGTGTCAGGAAGAAATGACCTTCATCAGAGTCAGCCCATTTCTGGGAACCTGGACCCTGATGTGAAAGATGTTGTTATTAATTTCCAAGCTTACTGTTGTATTCTCCAGGATTGCTTTCCTGTACATCCCCCATCAAGAAAACCAATTCCCAAGAAGCGACCAGCCACATATAAGTATATAGGCCTTTTGTAGTTGATACCCTCCAATATCTCTTAACATAATCCTTTTCACATGTCACTCCTGGGTGAAACAATAATGCTTTACTTCTGCACAATGTCTTGTAGGTTACAAAGTACTTTCACACTCATTGCTTTGCTTGAGCCTTACAAAAACCTTCATAAGAAAATGAAAAAGTCTTACAAAAATTATGTGTGAAAGTTACTGGTAACCTCACAGTTGCAGAATGTTAGATTTAGATTATTAGACCTGGCCCAATTCCCTTATTATATAGATGAGAAAGCTGACACCCAATGAACATAGGTGCATTACCTGAGATCACAGAGCTCACTGATGCATATCCAGTACAGCACCAGAAATTAAGTCTCCTTGAGAATCCAATGCTTTCTTAGCAGGTGCTGTCTCTAGAATAACCACCGTGGTCAAATTTCATAATAGAACTTAGTTAATTTTCTTTCAAATATATTTTAATTCTTCTAGTTAAAAACAGTATTTCTATCTTTGTAACTTATGTAGCTCTTTACCTTTATTTCTCATGTCAAGCATCACTTTCTATCTTGTATTAGAGTAATTACTGGACATGATGGTACTAGTACATTCAGTATTAGTCTTTAAGACCCTGAAAGGCATCATCCTGATTTGATGTATATTTGCATCCCTTATGGACAATACTACTGATAAAAAATCATGATGATGCTAAAAGCTAACATTTAGTGAGCACTGAATAGCCCACTACTGTGTAACAAGTACAACTCAATGATAATTATTAGATGAATTACATTTCAAAATAAATAGATACTGTAGCAGTTATTGTACAAAAGAACAAAAATTGAATTTGTTTATATATTCATTAAACCACTAAAAAAATTACTGAGTATCCACTATGTGCCAGGCATTTTTGATTCAATTATAAACAACATAGATGTGATCTCTGATCTCATTATACTCATATTCAATCCAAAGAGATGACAAAACAAGCAAATAAACAAACAAAAAGGTAAACAGAAGATAAAGTATGTAAGTGTGAGTTGCAATAAATGTTATAAAAAGAATGGATATGGGGCTTGGACAGAGAGCAATATGGCAGGGACAGCCTTTGGGTGGGGTGGTTAGGAACACCCTTAAGGAGGGGTTATTCCAACTGCAACCCAAAGGATGAAGAAGAGCTTGCTGAGTGAAGGGTGGGAGAGACCTAGGGAGCAACTTGTGCAGGTGCCCTGACATAGAAAGGGTGTGGCATGTCCAAGAACGGAGAGAGAATCATCAAGGCCCTTATGCATTCTAAGGTAGATATAATTATTAAATATTTAATTAACATTTATTATGACTACTATAACAGATTTAGATTGCTCTAGGCCAGAATGTGATAAAGGTAAATTATGATAAACTATGTATATATGCCATGGTATAGTTTTTCTTTCTTCCCACAGTATGAATTTTCCCTACTGGAAATAGTTATAATTGGATTGATTAATTTGTATTATCCAACTAGCTATGAATAATACAAAACAAAACAGTATCTTGACCCAGAAGTGCTACCTCAGGATTAAAACAGAAGGCTCAAGCTATATAACTTAATGCTTACTTTAAGTGGGCTTTGTTGATCGTAACAATGGGAAATAAGAAGAAGGGGAATGCATAACATGATTATTGATAGTGAGTGATAGTATGGATAAGAATGAAGGGCTATGATTGTGAATGTTTTCCAGTGGGAAAATATCACCAATTTTATAATAATATCCTTCATAAAAATTTGCATTAAAAGGTATTTTCTAGAAGGCATAGTGATGAAAACTGAAGGCTGTCTGTCCTCCCATGCACTTTACAAAATTATTTCAATTTAATCTAGCCTTCACTTTGGATACAGATCTGCCACCCCCATCCCAGGCCAGGGACTTAATGGCATTGGTGCATCCTTGTCAATTCAGAGACCATTCTTCTACACCTTTTTTCACAGAATCTAGCAAACTATATCCTCTACCCCCACTCCCCATGAAATAGCCCATGTGTCAAAGGTCTTTAAAAGGACAAAGCATGCATTTCTTTTTTCTTCTCCACCATGTAAAATCTTATGGGGAAATGGAATGGTTTACATTTTAGACAAAATTAGGGTGTATCACAACAAGTCATAATTCATGGAAGTATTTCTCTTCTCTTTTCAGCTTATGGTCAAATGATTCTTTTTGGCAATCATCACGAGAAAATAATTATACTGTACCTCACCCAGGGGCAAATGTGATTATACCTGAAGGTAAATACATGAACACAAATGAATAAAATGTTTGTTTTATGTAGTATTAACACTATGACAGGGTAGATGTCACAGTTAGGTTTCCACTTTTATCAGCACACTTTGGTGAAAGAGCAAGTGTGGAGAATTGGACTCTATTACTGTATCCTGGATACTAAACCTAGTCCGCTGGGGTTTCTATGGATTTAAACCTGACTATTAATTAACAAGAGTAGAATTTCTGGGAGAGATAGGAATCAGGTATTATATGAAAAGACACTTAATAAACTTACTCAAAACCAGGACTCACTGATAAGCTTGTCAATGTTTTGCTATAGGTTGTAGTTTATGGACATTTCCATGGACTATGTTATATTTCTTAAAGTATTGTTTTATAGGAACATGGATTGTAGCTGACACAGATATGCCATCAATGGAAAGACTCATTATTTGGGGGGTTCTAGAACTGGAAGATAAATATAATGTAGGAGCTGCAGAATCTTCTTACAGAGAAGTTGTTTTGAATGCTACCTACATATCACTGCAGGTAAGAGTGAGGGCCTTATAGTTTATATCTTTATTAATCTAATTCTAAAATGTATATTTACTCAAATAATAAGGAGGAAGCATATTCAATTGGTGTGAATAAAAAGCACAACTGGCTCTAGCCCATTAAATGCGAGTCTCAGGTAAGTCCAGTATATTTCTGTTCTCCTTTAAATTATGAACTAAACATTTTTTAGGAGTAGTTATTATGGGATTCTTGAGTTTGCAGTTAGCCCAGTTTCAATTCTGCATAGAATATCTGTGTCATTATGAGGTCAGGCTAAACCAACAGCTTGTTCCAACAAAGAGTCCTAGGAGTTCTGAAAAAATTAAAAGAATTTAAGCCTTTTGTTTTTTAAAGAAAACAAACAGTATTTAAAAAAAAACAAAGGGACATAAATGGAATTATGAAAGCAAGAGAAAATAAATCAAAATGTTACAGTTATCGGAACAATCCCCACATTCCTTGTAAACCCCGGATGGTCTTGAACCTGTACCAGCTTAATCAGCTCGATTGTTCTGTCAGTCTTGTAATATTGTTTATGAAAAAGAATAGCTTAGCCAAAAAGCTATTAAGCATCATTAAAATAATAAGTAGTTAGAATTACTATTATTTCTTTGAGAGAAGGAATAAAGTCCATAAACTCGGTTATTAATATTTTTAAAGTGCATCATATTTTGATTAGATGAATGGCTTTAAGGTAAATTAAAGTTACAACTGAATCTTTACCTCACTGTTTTTTGGTTGGGTAACCATGGGTAAGTTATTTGACCTCTTTCATCATTAGTTTTCTCACCTGTGAAATAAGGATAATAATACTAATTCATGAATTTGGTGTAAAGAAAGGTTAAATGATACAATATATGTGAAGCCTTACACATTATGCATGATGGAAGCAGCAAGCATTCAATGATAGCTGTTAGTATTAACAATGATGACTCATAAATAGCATAGCTTGGGTGTAAGCGTGAAGAGTATATCTTACATATGGGATATTACATTCAAATACATTATGGTCTATTCAAACACCACTAGTTTAAGTCTTATAAAATCTCAGTTTTAGGTCTGCTTCTGTCCATAAGTAGATATTGAATTTGACCTTTGAAAAATCATTTAAACTGCCTATCCAAAAGTGAAATTAAAGTCACTTCCAGTTATAATGCTGTTCTTTATATAACAAAACTCATTCCTTTTTACTAGGGGAGACTTCCAGTGACTTCTTAATTCCTTTTTTATAGGTGGATTTTTTTTTCCTGGTCAATTTTTAAGTATTAACAATTTTCTGCTTCATTTCAGGGAGGTAGATTAATTGGTGGCTGGGAAGATAACCCTTTTAAAGGAGACTTAAAGATTGTTCTTAGAGGAAATCATACTACCCCAGACTGGGCTCTTCCAGAAGGACCAAATCAAGGGGCAAAGGTCTTAGGTGTGTGTCTACAGATACCAGAAGTGTCACATCTGTTTTGGGAATCTACTTTAAAATATATGGCACTAAAGTACCTATGAGTTCACAATGATAAATACTTTATCATAATAAGTACTTCTGATATAAAAGTGTCAGAAGCTTTTACAGAAATTTATTTTTATTTACAAAGGGTTATAGAAGTGGCAGAGATTTTTAGAATTAAATCACATCACATTTCACCAGGTAGAAACAGATATAAATGTGCATATTTTAAACCAAAATGTAATTTATTACAAAACTAATATTAACAAATCTCTTTGTGTGTATATTATTTTTCCAATCTGGTTTTCTTCATACAGTTTTCTTTATGTAAGCAAAACTATGTTTCACATTTTTTTACCTTAAAAGGTAACTTTCCTACACATTATTCCATTTATAGTATTAATAAATAATCTGTGGATCAGTTGACTCTGTAATCAATTACCCAATCACAGCTATTGCTGAGATTTAATTTCCCAGTTGCATTGGTGTACTGTGGATATTCTTATTTGAGCTAAGATAGCAAATGGCTTGAAAGAGTTTAACCTGGTCATAATTAAGAACTGTTTATATGAATGGTACTGCATATTTATTTAGGAGGCACATATAAGCATGTGCTACCATTGTTTTACTGTACAATTTCTAAAAGTAACACCAAGTAAATAAGGGGCTAAAAATTGCTAGAGATTGAATTAGCTCACCATTCACAAATGTCCTGAAGCAGACAAATTCAATCTTAAAAAAAAATTACGTTTTTTATTTCAAAAGTAACACGTTAAACAACATAGAACAATATCAAGAAAATATATCTGTAAAGAATATACATCTTTCTAATTCTCTTTTAAGGACACTAGCATTAGTTAAAATTTTTTGTGTGTCTTCCTATATTTTTATCTATGCCTATATTCATATTACATATACTGATTTGTGGTGATAGTATTGTTACTTTCATAAAACATGGTCAAACTAAGTATATTATTATGCAATTTTCTCAGTGAACATATTATGAAAATCTTTCCTGATCAAAATGTACAAATAAAACTCATTTTTATAGCCTATTATTCTACAGTATTAGTATATTAAACTTTATTCCATTCTTTTCCTTTTGATGTATATTTGGATTAATTCCAGTTTCCTCATGTTTCTAAATATTACTGTGGTAAGCATCTTGATTCATGTACTCTTGTATACTGGCTTTAATGTCTATGAGCCAGATTTCCAGAAGTGGGTTAAAGGGTCAAAGTCTTCTTACATGGTTCCAAGCAGAGAGCACCAATTCATTCCTTTCATTCTAAAATGTTTAATCACATAATAAAATATATCAATGAACATTTTCATTTTATACTAGCACCTAACTCAGTACTGTGTGGTGAATAAATAGGAGTGTGCTTTTCTTCTTTAGGGGTGTTTGGTGAGCTAGATCTTCATGGAATTCCACGTTCAATATATAAAACTAAGCTCTCAGAAACTGCAGATGCAGGTTCCAACATCCTGTATCTGATGGATGCTGTGGATTGGCAGGTAGAGAAAATAATTATGTAAAGGAACATGAATATATACAGTGGGTCAGCTGAAAAAATGTCTCTTCTACTCTCATGGGCATTCATTTTCTCATGTGATTAGCCAGATGAAAAATGGGTATTTTGCAATAAGCTTGCAAAAATTGACCTGATAGGAGGCATTTAAAAATTGTGGCTTCAATGGTCCTTTAAAATAAATAGAGAACATTATGTCTGTGTGCATATATACATATGTATGTATATTGTATTTATATATATTTTATGACTATATATTATGTATATACATTTTATGACATATATGACTGTAGATTAGTCATATAATATATGACTTATATATTATGTATATAGAAGCGAATATATAATATATGTCATAAAAATGCATATAAATTAGTCATATTTTATATTAATATATGTCATATAAGAAAAATATGAATATTTTTGGATAAAATTAAAATGACTATTAGTCATTAAAATGTATATATATTAGTCATATTTTATAGTAATGTATATTAGTCATAAAAGAAGAATATGAACATTTTTAGATAAAATTATTTATTATAAATTCTTACAAAACAGAAAATGGAATTATTTAAAATATATTTTATTATCTTGGTTACCTCTTCACTTCTAATTTATGATTTTACATGTTAAGAATTTGAAAAGAAAACAAATTCTGACACCCAATGATATCCATATACTGCCTGTGTTAAATGAGATCTTTTAATAAAGTATAAATGGTAGCAATTCTCATCTCTACTGTGCTCATAAACCATGCACAAGCCATAGAGTCCACATGTTTTAAAATACAGTTTTTAATGCCAAAAAATTAGAGAAATGAATGGATTTCATCTCCAAGCTCTCAGATCTCAGCCAGTTCCTTTCTGGTGAGAACAAGCTTTAGACTCACAGAACAAAGGGAGCCTTAGTTTGAGCAAATCAATGCAAATCATCAAAACATTTGGGTTTGCTCTCTTAGTGTAGTTTATAATGGGTAAATAGAAAGAGGGTTTATTGAGAAGTATTATGATCTATTTGCAATATGTTTTTATTTGCGATAGTTCTGGTGTGATTACTTTTTAAAGAGAATAATTAAGTGATTTTGATATCCTTATTATTTATCCAATTAATACTGTCTGCAAATTTTGTATCAAAGTAATATTTAATCAAGTGTCACACGTTTTTCTAGGCATTCAGGATTTAGTGGTGAAGAAATTTGTCCAAGTTATAACAGAACTTCCTTTGGAGTGGGAGAGTCAGATACTAAATGAACAAATAAATATCTATTAATTTCAGATAATGTGCATGATGAAGGAAATAAAACAAGTAGTGTGATAGAGACTGCCATGGCAAAGAGTGGCAGATAACATTGAATATTCCAGAGACGGTCTTTGTCGAGGGTACATCTGAGAAGAGATTTGGATGATAAGGAGGAGCTCAATATACAAAGTTCTAGGACTTAGCCTTGCCCTTTAACTTTCCTCAGGCTTTTCTGCCTTTCAGAAATAACAAGTGAGAGTTAATTGTACTAAACAAACAAACAAAAAACTAGGGAAAAAAATTCAACTCTTAATAATATTGTCCTGATCAGTTCTTAATAAAAATGTGAGTATGTTTGCTTTGATGTCTTTACTTTTTTAGAAAGGTATATTGCTGTGATTTTACTAAACGGCTGAGTTAAAGTTAAGAAAATGCTCAGATAATTCAAAATTTATAATTCTTAATATCAAACACAAGCATATATATTTTAGAGACTTTAATGTACTGTTTATTCTTTCTGATAATACCGTAATTGCCAATGAGATATAAATTAAATTTGAATTATTTAATAATGATATCAAGAAATATAAACCTATTTTTAAAATTGTTCTCAAATTTGGCACTTGAATTTTTCTAAGGAGGGAGAAGAGATTGTGATAACAACCACAAGCTATGATTTCCACCAGACAGAAACAAGAAGTATCGTTAAAATCCTGCATGATCATAAAATTCTCATTCTTAATGATAGCCTTTCCTATACTCACTTGGGTAAGTGGATGCTTTTTAATCAAATAGATATATAATTGTATTGAAAGATTCACATTTTCTCTGTAATTATAATTCTTTGATAAAACATGTCACAAATATGTTAAAGGAGCATTTTATTCAGATTGGCAATGATACCCAGTGAGCGCTGCTCTTTCTCTGTTGGTTACCGATAGTCCCCGCTATGTGCTTTCATCCATTCAGCAAATATTCAGCAAAGACCTAGTGTATGACATTTTATAGGGTAAGGTTCAACACTTTCTGTTTAAAGCAAGCTTCTAGGTGATTCTTGTTCACACTGAAATTTGAGAATCCTTTATCCAAAAGCCTTGTTGTCCTAAACTGTTTCATGGATATAGTCTTTAGTGGTAAATGCATTTAGACAAGTAACAATGGAAAGATAAAACTATAATTGTTGAGGAAAGAAGGAATAAGCATGATCTGAAGATGAGTTTTCCACTTACAGGAGCAGGGCCTTCCCAGCACTCCAGCCTTTCCCCATTTGGCATGGTACCTTCATCCAAATCTCAGGAAATGGGAGCAGACAGTAGTGTAAAGTTAGAAAATCCTTTCAGATGCCCCTGATGCTCACATGAACTCCAGATGCAAGACAGCATGATAGACTAGCGGACGTTTAAGAAACTGAAAAGAACTTCTTAAAGCAGTACTTTGATAGAAGTGCATGTGTCTATAATTCTATATCATATATTTTCTTTAAATCTAAAGAAAAGTTTTATTTGAAAAATGTTTCATTGTAATTAGTTGTAAAACAGTTGGTTTTTGAAGTTTGACATTATAGATTCTTTCATTTAAAATATCAAGCATTATTCTCTGTTTGAAATGCACCTGCTTGTCTTAAAGTTTTGAATAACATTTTGTAAAATGTGGCATGTAATCTAGGTTATGTTTTACAAATTGTTAAGATGTAAATGTACAGATGGTATTGGACATGCTACTACCTATTGATAAAGAATCTTGTGGTTGATATAAAATATGCCACAGGGAAAGTGGAACAAACCAAGGTTTAGGTGGCAGGAGTGTTAATTGCCATGCGTTGTTGATTCTCCTCCTAGCTTTGGACAAATTCTTTTACTTCTCTACATTTCCTCACCTATTAAAATTACAATACACTTCTCAATTTGCCATACAACAGGGTTTTCATGTGTAATTTGAAGTGATTATATACTACCTTCAAGATTTGTTAAGTAGTAACTTTATACTTGCTGATGATAATAATAATTTTGATGTAAATAGAGGAAATATTTTTGGTTATATTTCATTTTATAAATATGAATATCATAATATCAGACTGCCATCTGTATTTGTTTAAACATGTGAATCTAATAATTCATGCATTCATGTTGAATTTTGGCTTATTAGAAAGCTGTTTAGCATATGAACTGCAAAGGAACTAGTAAAGACAGATATTTCTCAGCACTGGCAATAATCTAGCTGCCTTTATGCTGCAGCTGAAAAATACCATGTCCCTGGAACTGGTGAGAGCTACATGTTAGCAGCTGATGTTGGGATACTGAGTAGGAACATCAAAATAATTGGTGAAGATTACCCAGGTTGGTCCGAGGACTCTTTTGGAGCACGCATACTGGTTGGCTCATTCACTGAAAATATGATGACATTTAAAGGTTAGTATAAATTCAGTTTATTTTTCTAAATGAGCTATAACATGATCTCATCTATATTTAGTCAGCTCTTACATAATTCTCACTTTTTAAATAAGATTATGTGGGAAAATAAAACATAAAAAGTGATTATGTAGCCCAGGTGTTACCTTCCAAGTAAATTCTCTTAAATTACTGCTTTTACTTTTATCTTCACAGACAAAATGAATTATCAAATTAACAATGACCTTCGGTAACAGCTAGACCAGTCTTTCACCTAACAGAGATAATTTTATAATAAGTACCGCAGATCATTTGTTGCTTTTGTTTTGGTTTAAGGAAAATTTCAAGCATACACCAAAAATAGAGAAAACAATATAATGAATCCCAGTGTACTAATCAGCAGCTTCAACGATGATCAGCTTTGGCAAATCTTGTTTCACCTACACCTCCATCCACTTTCTACATGCTCCTGGATTGTATTGAAGCAACCACACATTATATCATCTAGAAGTATTTTAGTGTGTAACTGTAAGACATTGTAGAAAACATCAACAAATATCAGACCTAAAAATGTTAATTTCTTAATAATAATTTCTTATCAAATGATAGTTCAAATTTCCCCAGTATCCTCCTTCCTTTCCTCCTTCCCTTCCTTCCTCCCTCCCTCCCTTCCTCCCTTCCTTCATCCTTCCTTCCTTCCTTCCATCCATCCTCTTGTTTCAAATAAGTATCTAAATAAGATCCACATTTCAACTGGTTATGAATCTTAAATCTCTGATTCATTCCTCTCTCCTTGCATTTTATCTATAAAAGAAGTTGGTCCTCTAATTCTGTGGAGTTTCCAACATTCTGGAATTTAGTGATTGCATTCCTGAAATTTAACTTGTTCTCGTCTCCCTGTATTTCCTATGCCTAGGTGATCTAAAACTAGAGGCTTCAGGCTCAATTTTTAGGCAAGAATTATGCCAGACAGCGTGTCTCAGGCCTGTAATCCCAGCACTTTGGGAGGCCAAGGTGGGAGGACTGCTTGAGGCCAGGAGTTTGAAATCAGCCTAGGCAACAACCCAATTGTAAAAAAAAAAAAAAAAAGGAAAAGGTACAGTTGGTAGTGTATTTTTCCATCAGTAAATACATAATGTATGATTGTTTCTCTTCTTACAATGCTAATAGCTACTAATTAACATTGCCTAGATTCATTAAATCATTAAGATTTAAAATTTCCTCCTCATTTATAATGAAGAAAATCTCCTCTAAACAACCATTTGACTGCACTGAAAAATACTTCGTATAGGAAATACAGGAAAAAATGCTTGATTTTTCCTCATATTGACTAGGTTTCAAAATAATATGTTTGTTCCCAAGCATCCTCCAAAGGTGACAGGGAGTTTTTGGTTTGCTGTTAGTCTCATTATGTGCTCCTGGGTCAAAACATATTTGACCTGTTCAAATCCATTGTGATTGTTAATCTGATTAATACTCAGAATGCTCCATTATTGACTTTCAGAACCTTTTCATGTTGATGCCTGTCTTCTTGACATGAGTTAGTTTTCTAAGCCTCTTTACTTTCTGATACGGGAAGCACATACTGTAATTTTTTTCTAAGACTGGAACTCAATTGTTCCTCCAAGTAATTCTGGTTCTTTTTATTGGAAGATGTTATTTGGATCCCACAATCTGGGTACTAGGACTAGAGCATCCATTCTTGATTTGAACTGTTGCTGCAGGTACTCACTTGTTCAAAACACTGCCTATTTCATTTTGCAACGGATCTATTCTAGAAAATCTTTATATTGAGAAAACAGCAATCTCACTACAGCCTCTACTTATTGTTCATAATCTGCCAGAGGAAGTTTAACTGATGATGATGGTGCTGCTGCTGCTGCTAATGATGGTGATGGTAATGATGATCATGACACAAGATCACGGGCACTGTGCTAGGCATTAAACACATACTATCTCATTTAATCCTCATAATGTTATGGCATAAATATTATCCCTCTTTTAAAGATGAAGAAACAGATGAATAAAGGGGTACAGTTGCTTTGATCTTGAATATTAATCTGTGTCTTTCTCACTTCAAATTCGGTGAAGAACCCTATTCCTATGACAGTCTTTCCTTGCTCCTATATATTGTTTTGTGATGTGAGTAAAGATAACATATCTGTGGCTTTTGTAAGCCCAGGTGGTTTATAGTAATCATGTCTTCTCTATCATTATCTCAATTTTTCATATCTTTTCAACCATGTATATAAGAATTGGCTCATGGATTTCAAGGTAGGCTTTCTCTTCTAGTACAAAATAACTCTTCTCCAACACATTCTATTAAGTATCATTTTTTGAACAAATAATATTCTCTTTGGTTATTTTCCAGCCATGAATTCCTGGGCCTCAGTTTGTTTTTTTTTTAACTAGATGATAGAAATATAAAAGTTCCTAACTCACAGGGTGCTTTGTGAGAATTAAACCCCATATTGTCTGTTATGCATTTAGTGCAGCACTTGACACAGAGCAATCTCTCATTGATTGTTATTGCTGTTATTAGTAGTCTGTAAAATTACCCTTTGTCACCTCGATGGTACTTATGATAAGCTGACCAGCAGATAATTGGCAACACATATTCTGAAAGAGATTATAAAAGATAATGCCCTTAAAAGCTCTTTATGGCATCAAAAGGGAAATGTCAGGTAAATTACATCTTATGCCTTATGCCATACATTCTCAATTCGAAAATATCACCCCCCACCCCAGGAGGAAAAACTTAGTTCTGGGGGTGGGGGCAAAAAACATAGGTATTACAATGGTTTGTGGTCCTCCAAAAGGCCACTGTACACTAACAGATATATGGTATATATGCGTTATTAAAATTTTGTGGGAGAGTGCAGGCTATTAAGAAAAAAAAAGTTGAAAAGGGCTATTTGTGAGTACAATGAAAAGAGGTCTGGGAAATACTACTTCTTCTGGATTAAAGGAGCAAATAATAACTAATGATTTTTTCATGAAAAATTTGAACTTTGTGTAGCTTTTCAAAAATGTTTTATTCCAACTGTTTTAAGAAAAACAAATTTTAAATCTTTCCCTACCTTAGGAAATGCAAGAATAAGTAATGTGGAATTTTATCACAGTGGTCAAGAAGGCTTCAGGGATAGCACAGATCCAAGATATGCTGTAACGTTTCTTAACCTACGACAGGTTTGTGCTTTATTTTTAATTTTGTGTATATTAAAAATACGTAAACTATTTTTATTTTCACGTGACTTCTAAATAGCCACATCTTATATTGGCTAAAATTATAATCTAATATAACAAAACTTTCTTGGCATTAACTTTTTAGACCTATATAAGTAGGATTTGATTCCATCCATATTGTGTACTTATTTAAGGCCAGTAAAAATCATAGGAAAAGTAGTATAGAGGGTGAAAAAATTGAAGAACTATAATAGTGGTTTATATATCCACTTTATTTTGCAATGACCAAAAACATTTTTCCAAATAGTTTCTATTAAACAAAGAGAGTATTGCTCAAACTTCTCAAATGAAATGCATGTCTGATCTATGCCTCCATCAACAGTGGGAAAATAAATATTCCTAGAGGGCTGGTGATTTAAGAAAAATGAGAGACAGGATATCTCTTAGTAGAAATAAATAAATAATCTTTTAGGTTTAAATTGAAACCCCAAACCTGTTCACTGAATGGTTCCTATAGACATTTGAATAGTAACTCCTTGCCTAAAGTATTTTTTGTAATAAAAAAAAATCCCTGTCATCATGAACTATTCTTCAAAATAAGTGATAATAGGAATATAAATGCATAGAAAAGCACTTAAGAATTTTGAATCTGCATTTAAAGTAAGCATATATATTTAATATATCTAATAATAAATTCAGATACATGGAAATTTGCATATTTTATATATGGATATATTAAAGATTTATGGAGAAATCATCATTAAGAGAAAGTGAATTGAGTATTGATGATTGATCAAGATTTACTGAAAATCATTTACTTCAATTTTTTTCTTTAAATATATTGTAATTTTATTTTTAAAATGTTCTCTGTATCCCAATGTTTTATAGATTCAAGAACACGGTTCATCCTATATTCGAGGCTGTGCTTTTCACCATGGCTTCTCTCCAGCAATTGGTGTATTTGGGACAGATGGATTGGACATAGATGACAACATAATTTACTTTACAGTGGGAGAAGGTAATATAATAATATTTTGGTCCAAATTACATGTCCTGTGGAGGCTTTCTTATATGTAAACTCTAGAGCCATACTGTCCAATTGATCTTTCTGTGAGGATGGAAATGGTCTATATTTATGCTGTCTAATAATAGTAACTACTAAATCACATGTGTCTATTGAGCACTTGAATTATGGCTAGGAGCTGAATTGTGACTGAGGAAATGAACTTTCAATTTTAATGGTACATAATTTAATTGCACTTAATATACATTTAAATAGCCACCTGTGGCTATGGCTATCATATTAGACACTATAGCCCTATAACATGGAAGAATTTTTACCAGACCACATTCTTATATGAGTTACCTAATCACTAATTATTTAAATGTAATACTCCTCACATATAAATCACAAATATTATTACAAATAAAGTTTATATACAACTTTAGACATATTATATTGATTTTTGTCCATATAAAGTATAATAAACTTATTTAATTTATATAAAAGCTGTGGGTTTGTTAAATAAAATCTGAGATGGACCCTGTGAACCCACATATTTAACAAGCACCCCAGAAGATTCTAATTCAGGTAGTCTATTAAAGAGGGAGAGTTCATTATCAAAGAGTTCAGAGGAATCTTTCAAAAATCTAAGAGGATCATTTGTCAGGCTCAAAGTAGAAAAATAATTTTATAGAAAACCAAAAGACATTACTCATAATAGTCATTTCAAATTGACTTATGTATTTTGGGGATTTTCTTTCCTTGTTTTCTTTTTTTCTTTTTTTTTTTTTTTAACAGGTATAAGAATATGGGGGAATGCCAACCAAGTCCGAGGGAATTTGATTGCACTTTCGGTTTGGCCAGGAACCTATCAGAACAGAAAAGATTTAAGTTCAACTCTCTGGCATGCAGCAATTGAGGTAATGAGAACAAACTTATAATTATACTAACTTATAATGATATCAGTGATTGAAAAAATATAATAAAATGAGCTAACTAAAGGAGTGAATGCACTTTTAAAAAGATGATGTAAGTTTCGGTAGCCATTGGTGTATTTTTTTCTGTTGATGTCTATTGGTTTAAATAGTTCTCTTACCTCCTTTCTTCTCCAACATTATTTCAAGTTCCAGTACAGGGCCTCTTTGCTGCTAGTAGTTGACTGAGTGCTTTTGGCATATTACTACTTAATTCTGAATTTAGTTTCCTCCCTAAAAATGAAAATAGACAATGAAATCTCTAAAATCCTTTTCTCATCTAAAATGGTCATGATTCTACATGCAAGGTTATTATACTTATCTGATATTACTAATTGGAACCTTCTTGTTTCCCATGAAGTTTCTTCAATTACTGTAAGTGTTTGTTTAGATATAGAGTAAGATTACAAACAAGAAAAGAGAAAGTGGAGGAGATACCTTCCTCCTGTCTTTACCTATGACATAGAATCGAAAGAAATTAAAAATAGTTACCTTTGAAAGATGGGATAAGGATTGAGTTTTTTTTTTCTTTTTTTGCACAACTATTAATACCTTAAGGTAAAATCTGAAAACTGAAATTTGGTACACATTTATGAGGTAAAAGATAATCTCTTTTTATCTGTTTATACATATTAAATGTCAATTCCAAATCTTTAAGGCTATTTGTGTCTTTTGAAAGAAAAGGTACTTAATTGACATTTATGAATTCATGTGACTCTATTTTTATCAAAATATTTAAAAATAAATGTGTTTAATATGATTGCAACTTTTGACTGTTTTGCTGACACCATAGGCAAGAATGATATGTGTGCTGTATGCTTCCATTTTTTTCTACTTTGACTTGGCTTATAAAATAAAATTGTTTAGTAATTACCTAACACTCATGCTAACCTACTTTGTGATTATAGCAAACGTTATGTAAACTAGTCAATGTCTCCACTGAATCTTATGATCCACTATCATTGCCTCAGTTGTCTTTTTTAAAATAAATTAATCAAATTGGTAACAAAACATAACTAAAAAGAGCCTGTAAAAAGAGCTTGCACCTAGCTACTTGGGAGGTTAAGAGGATTGCTTAAGCTTAGGAGTTTGAGACCTACCTGGGCAACATAGCGAGACCCTGTCTCAAAAAATATATATATACACACATAATTTTATATGAATATATATTTATATTAAACATATATAAATATAATATATAAATATATATTTATCACTTTTTCAGTGATCACAAATTCCTGAACAAAGTATTAACTTCTTGTTACCTTGTTATAATACTGGAACTTGTTCTGTGCCTTGTAAATTTTAAACCACATTCAGTGGATTTTGTGACTGAAATAAGAAATAATCTCTTTAATGTAGTTTTTAAATGAAGTCCAGGCTATAGTACTTAATGATGGTTTTACACTAAGAACCTAGTGTAATTTCAATACATCACTTGTAATTAAGTTCGAATGGAGTAAATAATAAATTAAATTTTTCCTTCTGAAAATGTAGTCATAATTAAAGGTTTTCATAAGTATATTGTCATATACTTACTCTCAATTTATATAAATGTTTACTAGCCTGATGCACAGTATTTTTTTTAAATCATTGCACTAGGTAAATAGAGGGACCAATACAGTTTTACAGAATAATGTAGTTGCTGGATTTGGAAGAGCAGGATACCGCATTGATGGTGAACCTTGCCCAGGTAAGTCTTTTAAACCAGGAATCGCTAAAACTAGGAAATAACTTGTCCAAAATTGTTCAAATAAATAATTACTGTTTGTTAATTCAGTATATAATATCATTTCCTTCTGGTCACTGAAATAACTCAACAAGATAAATTATTTCAAGATAACATTGGATCTAAAAAAATAAATAGGTTTCTAAGGAAAACTTTATTTTCCCAAGTTTATGATCCCAAAACTCCAATAGCAACTTGAATTGTTGATTTGGTTGGCATTGGGACAGTAAGTACCTCATTCCACCACCATTTTTACAAAAACAGCACTTATTATAGAGATACATGTTGACATACACCATTACTTTAACTTCTACTTTGATAGAATAAATGTTCACTATTCATATGTTAAACCTGCATGCATCAAAAAGTCAATGAACATGAACAGACACTTCTCAAACATAGATTTCTCTATATTAGATTAGTAAAAATTAAGAACTAACTGAGCATCTACTCTTTTGACAAGGCTGTAGGGAAAGCAAAACATTTATACCTTGCTGGTTGAAGGACAAAACAATATCATCTCTGCTTAGGGTAACATGACAACATCTACCAAAATAACACATGCATTTACCTTTGACTCAGCATTTCCACTTCTATGAATCTAGCTAACAGTTGCCTTCACAAACTTAGAAAATTATTTATGAACAAGGTTATTCATCACAGCATTGTCTGTACTAGCAGAAAACCGAAAGCCATTTGTGTCCCCCAATGGTAGAATAGTTATATAAAGCCAGACGATGGAACACTAGACTACTCAAAGAAAGAAGGCAGAAGAGTTCAATGTATTGATATGAAGAACTCTCTAGAATATTCTTAAGTGCTAACTGGAGAGTGCAAAATAGTTTATAAAATACTATTTTAGGTATAATACATATAAAATGTTTTGTGGAAGAAAGGGAAGGAATCAGAATGTATATGGTATTTGTATTTACATAAGAAAAGTATAAAAATCATAGAAAGTAATTGGGAACAAGGGAACTCAGTACTTATAATTGTGTACTTTTTCAATAACCTCTATATTTTCAACCATGTAAATAAATTATTATGAGATCAAAAAAGTAAAATACATAATAAATCTGCAGACTTTACCCCTCAAGAAATTTAAAGAAAGTTAAAGAAAATGGGACTTTCTCTGAGAAATGTAGGCCCCTTCCAGAATTGATTTAAAAAAAAAAAAAAACTCAGTATAGTTACTTTTTAACAGCTTTATTTGGCATGATTTATATAGCATAAAATTCATCTTTTTAAAAAATATACTAGTTAAATGTGTGTTTATTTTTAAGATTCTTTGAATCAGCATTTTTTTTTCTGTCAATTCAAACATTTTAGACTTAAGCGGGTTTTATTCTTGTGCAAAATACAGTTTGAAGGAATAAAAACTACTTTGTCAACATACTTAACTGATTCCTTGATATATGCTCTTGTTAAATATTTTAGTTCCCAACCGCTTGAAGTGGCTTTTCTTTGACTTAAAATTTTAAAATATGTAATTTCTTTACAACTTCAACAAAGTTATCCTTATGGATTTTTCAACATCAAAATGTGATCTTTGAATATGAGTATTTACTAGTATGTATAATGCTATGTAATGCATTTTTCACTGACTATGTGGATATTCCTAAATAATTGAGACTATTTATAAGGAGATTTTTAGTTATAGCAACTGAAATATGAAACATCACAGAGGAATGAAGCATTTACGTTCCTGTAATGGTACATCAATTTATTCAATCCATCCCCCAGACAAGAGTCTGGGAAGCTCGGGATAGTGAAATACACCGGGTTCAGGGGTGAAACCCTATCTGTCCATGCATCTATTATTGTGTGACTCTAAGGGAGAGAAATGTGAAAATCTTCTTATGCAGGAAAATTATCAAAACCAGGAAGATCATAAATAAAATGTAAAACCCACAGGACTAGGAAGAAGGGAAAATCAATAAAGATAAAAGGAAACAGATACCAGGGAACCTGAACAGGAGAGCTGGTATTAAGTACAATTTAGGAGACGGTGCTGCTCTTTATAGACAGTCCTCCAATTCATGACTGTTTGGAGAGGCAGTTATTAAGGTTATTGAACTGATTTGGACATCAGTAAAACTTTCATTAAAATCCCCTTTGTTCTATATATTAATAATGAGTATAGTTGCCATTTATTGAGAGTATTTGCTATGCACTTTATGTAGGTGATTTCATTTTATTTTGAAACAATTCTGAATTAATCATTAAAACTTTTTACATATGAGGAAACTAAGGTCCTAAAACAACTTTCCCAAGATAATGCCTACACCAATTGTTAAAATATTTAAAGACCACCTATCTCTGTACAACCTTCTAGGCTCCAAGAAGTGATGGTGAATGAGCTAGGTGCAATGTCTTCTCTTATGAAGCTTACATATTACTAGGAGAGAAGAGATGGATAATTCACAAATAATTAATAATAAAAATATCAAGTGAAAGGAATTTTAATTGCAATGTAAAGTGACTGAGGTGTTATTTTGAATCAGGTATTTAGGGAAGGTCTTTTAAGGAAGTGACATTTGACTTGAAAATGGGATGGCCAGAAGGACATAGCAATGGAAAGATGTTTAGGGGGAGCATTTCACGGACAGTAAGCTGTACCATTGTGTTTCAAGTTTAGGCTTATTTGTATCTAAATTCCATTCTCTTTCTAATTAAATTAATGTTTACTTTAATCAGACAAAATGATGTAAGGGTGTTGACACTAAATTTTGTAAATGAGTATACAGTTATTTTAAATAACAGTGAAGAGACTAGTTAGACAAAATTAAATACTAATTAGAATAAGCCAGGCGAGGTGGGGCATGCCTGTAGTCCCAGCTACTCAGGAGGCCAAGGCAGGAAGATGGCTTGAGTTTGAGACCAGTTTGAGCAACATAGTGAGACTCTATCTTGAGAACATTTAAATAAAAACACTAAATAGAGTGAAGCATAAATGGCAGAGCCATAAACATATTTGATCATATTAAACTTGATATCAGAATTATGTATGCAATTTTGAAAAGAATTTTGTTAACTTTAACCAATACTGCTTATTAAAACTATGTGACATGAACTGTAGCGTTCATTCTCTGGTTCTATATTTCCTTCCAAGGCCAGTTTAATCCCGTGGAAAAGTGGTTTGACAATGAAGCCCATGGGGGTTTATATGGTATCTATATGAACCAAGATGGCCTTCCTGGATGTTCTCTTATACAAGGATTTACCATTTGGACATGCTGGGATTATGGAATTTATTTTCAGGTAATTATGATTAAAGATGGTGATTTTTAATTTGTTTTATGATTGTCCTTAGTATTATGTAACCTGTAAATTCTGTTGCAGACCACAGAGAGTGTGCACATTTATAATGTGACCCTGGTTGACAATGGAATGGCCATTTTTCCAATGATTTACATGCCAGCTGCTATATCACACAAAATTTCCAGTAAAAAAGTACAAATTAAGGTAAGAAATTAATACAGCCACACCATGGGGAAAAAAATAACTCAGAGAAGGGTAGAATTACTGAAGGACTAATAAGAATAATCTCCTTAACTTCTATCTGTCTCACCCACACCTCCCTGCCTTTGTTTCCACTGCCCTCTGCTTAAAAAACTGTTCATTCTTATCCGTCCTCCTCCCCTCTTCTTGTTTATCACCTGCTAATCTTGCAATAGTAATTTTCACTCCCTCTATGAAGTTTTTTCTGAGCCAGTTTAGGTGGTAATGACACTTCCTCCACTTTTTTGTTCCTTCTGTTCCCTGGATGTGTTTATCACAGAAACACAATATGTCCTTATATATAATTATTTACATGTCTGTCTTCCCTCTCCTGTTCTCAGTGTTTTTCCAGTTGGGGTTGCAATCACACTTTTTTCATCTTTGTTTAATGAATGATCCACTTTTTGAATTTATACTTTGTGTTTTATTTACTACAGTAGAATTCAGTATTATTCATTATCATGTTTTATTTTAGTAAGAGCTATTATTAATGCTATATTGGTTGGCTTATTTCCAAACAGAGCTCATTAATTGTTGGAAGTAGCCCTGGGTTTAATTGCTCTGATGTCCTAACTAATGATGATCCCAATATTGAACTCACTGCTGCTCATCGGAGTCCTAGATCTCCATCAGGTGAAAAATTTGAAACTTTAATGTTGGTGTTCATGTGAGTGCATATTCAATTTTCATTAACTTTTTTTTTGGTAAAAGGTGGGAGAAGTGGGATTTGTTGGCCTACCTTTGCTTCAGCTCATAACATGGCACCCCGAAAGCCCCATGCAGGGATCATGAGTTACAATGCCATCAGTGGCCTTTTGGACATCTCAGGCAAGTACACAATCTTTTATAAATCTTCTCAATGAATTTCTGTAAAGAATATGTAGAGGGTAACTAATAATGTTTCATTGTCAGTAAAAATGATTTAAGTGAATTTTTATAGCAATTTGCTCAATATGACAAATCAGACATTAGAGTCAATTTCGAGAATGGTTCCTTGGCAGGATTCTTATACTGTATGTTGAAGAATTGATGTTAAATTTTCCTTCTAAAACAACAACAACAAAACACTGTATTATGATTTAATATTAATTAATTTGTATAATTTTAAAAGCCTTTTCATGTGAGTAGGATTATATATTATCATCCCCTTTTAAAATTTAAGAACCTTAAGCTCATAGAACTTTAGTGCCTGGCCGAATTCCCACAGCTATTGGCACAGCTAGGATTAGCATCAAAATCTTCTGATTCAAACTCCACTGCTCTTTCACTGAACCAGGATGGCTGCTTAGAAATGTAAAATAATTATATAGAAATTAATGTAGTAAACACATCAATTATTTTCATTTGGCCTATTAAATAACACTGTGCATTTCCTGTTGTAATGGAGCAAGTCTCCCTTCCAGGATAATTTTAACCAGTGTCTCTTTGAAGAAAGTAGTTCAATACGTTAGACATCTAAGTTTTCACAGATTCTTCCTCACAACTTTAGATCCCAGAAATGTGAAACAAATGGGCAACATTTTTAAGTGTTAATTGCAATGATGATACCCTTGGAGGAAATTGTATAACATGCTACATAGGTTGTAATTGAATATATATGGCTTTTAATAAACAATATGCTCCAGAATATTATAAATATCATGTGGCAATGAAACTGCCCTTATGAAATGAAGCCTTAAAATTGAAGTTTATGGAAAGAACACGAATAACTATTATTCTTTCATAAGATATAGTCTTTTAAAATAACATATGAAAGTTAGTTGACTTAGATTCCCTAGAAACAGACTTAGATGAGGACTTTTATATTAGTGGCTTCTTGGAATGCCTAGTAGAAAGGGAAGAAAGAGAACAGGGCAAGGGAAGTTGCTAAGCAAGGATGTGACATGAGCTGTAGGGTAGCTTCACTTGATGCCACTGGGAAACTCTGGAATGTAAGTTAAAATTGCCACGGAGTTGATCTCACATTTGGCGAGGTGGGTGGGGGACGGTAGTCATTTGTATCCCCATGTTAGTTTTTGGTTACAGCTGCCCCTATGGGGAGGACCTTAATTTCCCAGGTATGTGGTTCCTTTTTGGCTAAGCTAATTGTCTGGGAAAAAGGACAGTTGTTAACAGCCAATTATTCAAAGAGATGAGAGATGGGTGTACCAGCCTTTATCCACTTCAGTCCTCTCTTGGGATCCCTGGGATCTACTTGCTTTTTTCATTGTTACTTACATTAAGTTATTCTACCAGGACTGATTTCTCCCAAATTCTGCATGGTCACAATTTCTGGGAAAAACTTTAAGAAGTGGGTTGGTGGTCACACTGCCACAGCTGGTCCCTAAACCATAAATGATACTCATGATTTCTCTCATCCATTGCCCTTTCTAAATTTCTGTCTTCCCTGGCTAACACTTCTGCTTGTCAAGATGGCTTGCTTGGTAGAATGGCTCAGACCCTTATCCCTGTTATAAATAGGCCCCTGGTCCATGGTGGCTCATGCCTGTAATCCCAGTACTTTGGAAGGCCAAGGCAGATGAATCATGAGGTCAGGAGTTCAAGACCAGCCTGGCCAACATGGTGAAACCCCATCTCTACTAAAAATACAAAAAAATTAGCTGGGCATAATGGCGGGTGCCTGTAATCCCAGCTACTTGGAAGGCTAAGGCAGGAGAACCGCTCAAACCTGGGAGACCGAGGTTACAGTGAGACGAGATCACACCACTATACTCCAGCCTGGGCAACAGAGTGAAACTCTGTCTGAAAAAAAAAAGTCCCTGGTTTCTGTGCCTTTATGAAGCCATGACTTCTGTACTTGCCATTTTACAACTAATAGTGGGCATATACCCTGGTGGATCACGTGAGTGCATCCTGCCGTCATTCTATAGAATAGGCCTACCTCTGCATGGTGATCAGGGTCAGTTACTTCTGCCAGATGGTAAAACCTTCTTTGTCTGATGAGAAGCCTGCAGTAACCATGAGGTAGGTATAGCTTTATTTTTTGAGTTACTTACTGTATGTCCTGCTGAAAACACGTCTCATCTGGGAACTAAGACCTCCAGACTCATAGAACCTAAAATTTTAGTATTGGAAACACAAGTTTCCCAAGTGAACTTCCAGGGATAATGGTGAAAAAAGTTACTCCTACTTCTTGCCTTTGGTACCAGCACCCACGTATTCTATATTTTTGATATTTACCACCATATAATGTCTTTTGTTTTAGGTTAATCACACATGTTTTGCAGGTTGTTATTTCCAAAGCTGACAGCTCAGCTGTGCCTTCAAGAGTCTATTCCATCAGTCTGTTGGAATGATTCTCCAGATGCTGTATTGTATGATTGCAGCAATTCTTCCATTGTGATCCCATTGTCTTATGCTCACCCCGTACCTATTTTGTTGAACGTGAGATCTTTGGTCTAGGGTGATGTTATGCAGGAGCTCATGCCATTAGATCACTTTGTGAGTCCTAGTATGGTGGTGCTAACTGAAGCCCTATAAGAAAAAAAACTCCCACCAGGAATACATGTCAGTACTACTCAGCATGAATTGTTACCCTTTCCAGGGTGGAATAAATCCAGTGTCACCAACTTTAAGTAAATGTTTGATTTCCTGAGGAATGGTAGTATACTAAAGACTTCATTTTAATTTCTGTGCCGGGCAATTTGGGTCAGACATTAAGTAGTGGAAGTAGCTCCACTAACCTTGGAAGGAAGAAGGCCATGCTGTTGGAGCCATGCATAGCCTCCATCTCCACCAAAAAGGCTTCTCAATTCATAAGCTGATTTGTAAGGGCTGGGGTGGCTGAGGACAGAGATTAACTGACATTTGTTGGACAAATCATCCTGCCCATTTGGTTTTTTCAGGTACTCTTCTGTATTGAATGCTTATTGGTAGGCAATAGCATGCCTTTTGTACCCATTTTGACAGATATAGCCACAAGTTTTTTTCCTGAACATCCAGTCTACTTTCTTCCAGGCCCCTTACCAACGAGCTAAGCCACTCATCACTACCCAGGAGTCCATATTTATCCTTACCTTTGATAAATTCTCTCTCCACAAAAAGTAGATGATCCTGTGTACCACCCAAATTTCTCTTAATTGGAAAGATCTTCCCACACCACACCACCCCACACTCATTCAAGGCCACCTCTGAGTTGGGCTGAAATGCACTGGAATTATATAATACATCCATTTCAATATTCCCATTTTTGAGCCTTTGACCTGCATTTTTCTCACAACATGTCATGGAAATTTGGGCATTTCTACTTAATGTGTGCCATCACTATTTCCAAGCTTTTAAAAGTCATTCCAACAACATATTAAAACTGGCCATACTAGTGTATAATTCCCTTGGAACAGGTCCTGTGGAAGATAAGATTTGTCTTGTAAGGCTCTGTTGAGGTCCCTGATGATTTTAAGCAAGTAGAGCAGGAAGTTACTCTCTAATAAGAAGGAGTATACCATTTATACACATACAGAGCATTCAGCACATTCTGAGACTTCAAGGTCCAAGTAGCTCTTCCCATATATCTCCATCTAACTTCGCATCCCACTTTGTTTCTGTCAGGGCCTTTGATGTAGGGGATTTGGTAGGGCTCAGAACCCAACCATCTCTTAAGTTGTAAGGTTCTGCTAATCTTACACTTATATCCTGAGATTTGCTTTGAATTTGTGAATGACCATTATAGTTTCATTTTCTTTCTTCAAATCATCAATAAAGTAGAAGCAGAAATGGAATTCTTATGCAAGTGGATTATTGAAGATATGCTCTGAAGAGAAAGGGAGTGAGAGAAGTATTAGAATAGGGCAGAGGAAGGAGCTAAGCAAGGATATGACCTCAACTGAAGTCCAGCTTCTTCTACCTGATACTTCAGAGAGCTGTGGAGTGCAAATTGTGCCAAATGCTTTTCCCACATTGAGGCAAAAGTTCTTCCATATGTCTTATCAGTCAGGTATAGCTACTCGTGGTAATGGAAGGGAGTACATAATCTCTCAGTTGAGGGAACTATCAAGTGGCTAAGGGCAATTCTTTAGAGAAGACAGCAGCTGGCCAGGTGTAGTGGCTCACGCCTGTAATTCCAGCACTTTGGGAGGCCAAGGTGAGTGGATCACTTGAGGTCAGGAGTTTGAGGCCAGCCTGGCCAACATGGTGGAACCCTCTCTACTGAAAAAATACAAAAATTAACCAGGCATGGTGGCAGGCACCTGTAATCCCAGCTACTTGGGAGGCTGAGGCAGAATCGCCTGAACCCAGGAGGTGAAGGTTGCAATGAGCCGCGATCACACCACTGGACTCCAGCCTGGGTGACAGAGTGAGACTCTATTTCAAAAAACAAAAACAGAAGACTGCAGCTACGAGTGGTTTGCAGCCAATACTTACAGGAGAAACTAGGTGTTGGGTGCACTGACCCAGTAAAGGAGATCTGGGCAGGGCACAAACAGCATCTGCTACTGTGATATTTTATTAATACTCATCTACAGGTTTGTATTCCTGTATATAGACTCTTCTTAGGAGGAAATATAATTAAGAAGAGGCATAGATAAAACATAACTGATTTAAGAATTTTAGAGGTCACCTTTTGCTTTTCTGTTTAGAGTTATTGAATTTTAAGTACAATGGAGATTAAGTTTTTGGATCCAATCAATTTTATCTTTTAGCCATGTAATATATACAAAGAAGCCAAGGGAAAAATAGTGGTTCATTTATCTTAGCTGGATAACCCCCCAAATTTAGAGACTTTAAACAACCATTTAGTTCATGATTCTGTGTATTGTCAATTTTGGCTTTGTTCAGCTGGATAGTTTTTCTGCTGGTCTCACCTGGTCTTGTCCATTAGGTGCCGTCAGTTTATAGGATGGCTATGGGCTGGTTAGTCTAGGATAGCCTTACTTCCATGTCTGGTGGTTGGTGCTTGCTGACAGTTGGTGCTGGCCATTAGCTGGGGTGACAGGAGTGATAGAGCCACATGTATCCCAGGCTTACTCATATGCTGGAAGTCACAGAATTCCCTGGAACACTAAGAAAGAGCAAGCTCCAATATGCAAGCACTCTCCAGATCTCTGTTTATGCCGTGATTGCTATTGTCCCATTGGCCAAACCAAGTTACATGGCCAAGCCCAGAGAAAATATGGGCGATCATTACCTAGTGATATGAATATTGGTAGGAAACAGGCTCCCACAAATAGTGGTAGACTTATTTACCATATCAGGCAAGAGCGCCATGTTTAAGGTAGTGACAAAAGATGTGTTTGGCTAATGTGCATTAAATAAATCTGATTTTATCACTTTCTTTACAGAAAATAATCACTTATCTATTGTTTATATTTTAGGTTCCACATTTGTTGGATTTAAGAATGTTTGTTCAGGGGAAACTAATGTTATATTCATTACTAACCCTTTAAATGAAGATTTACAGCATCCAATCCATGTGAAGAATATAAAACTGGTTGACACTACTGAACAATCAAAAATATATATACATAGGCCTGATATAAGGTAAAAATACATAAAAATTGTGGTTTTTCTATCTTTATAGTTTTTCATTCTCACTTCCTCCTGCTCAAGATCTAAGTTGGCATATTAAAGTAACTACCAGTTTTTATGAAACTTTAATAAGCATTATGAAAATTAAGACCATTTAATAATGTAAATCTAAATGTTCTCAGTTGAGTTTTAAAACTGGGCTTTAACATATATGTTTTCTCCCATTGCTTTGCGTGTGTGTGTGAATCATCAATAACATCATCATTGTTAAATACGAAAACTATAGATGGGGTCTGAAGTATGTTCTACTTTAATATCTTTCCATTTAAGAGCAGGCATAATGCGCCTGTAGTTCCAGCTATTCAGGAGTTTGAAGCAGGAAGATTGCTTGAGCCAAGGAGTTTGAGGACATCCTGGAAAATACCTCTGCCACTCAGGCTGGAGTGCAGTGATGCTATCATGGCTCACTGCAGACTCAAACTCTTGAGTTCAAGCAATACTTCCACCTCAGCCTTCCAAGCAGCTTAAAGACTACAAGCACATGCCACTATGCCTGGCTTATTTAATTAAGTTTTTGTTTGTTTCTTTGTTTGTTTGTTTTTTTGTAGAAACAGGGTCTTTCTATGTTTCCTAGGATGGTCTTGAATTCCTGGCCTCAAAGGTTCCTTCTACTTTGGCCTCCCAAAGCACTGGGATTACAGGCAAGAGCCACACACACATTGTTTTTGTTTGTTTCTCAAGTTAACAGTCATTAATGGACAAGAGATATCTCTTATTATTTCTTCCCTTTTTCTTACCCTTTTTGATTACCTATTGCTTCCAAAATATCCTATCACAGGCACCCCAAAATGTGCTTGGAAATTAAATGTCAGCCATTATAATCACTGTGATTATAAATACACATAAACTTAGAACAGTGATTTTCTGATCACAAAGATCAGTTGGTGTCAGGACATTTCCAGAAGTGATCATTTAGATTCTAAGTCATAGAATAATATATCTAATAATTCCTACTTTTTATAAGAAGTACAGACCAGGAATTTAGATATAAGGCAATACTGGAGGAAGAAAAAAATTTATTACTGATCTTTGACCATTTTCAGCTTAGGGGAAGAGAAAACAAATTATGTTCTGTATTTAAATAGACATCTCAGCCAGTCATGGTGGCTAGTGCCTATATTCTCAGAATTCTGGGAGGCTGAGGCAGGAAGACTGTTTGAGCCCAGGAGTTTGATACCAGCCTGGGCAACATAGGAGCTCTCACCTCTACAAAATTTAAAAAATAAAAATTAGCTGGGTGTGGTAGTGTGCACCTGTGGTCCTAGCTACTCAGGAGGCTGAGGCAGGAGGATTGCTTGAGCCCAGGAGGTTGAGGCTGCACTCAGCTGTGATCACACCACTGCACTCCAGCTTGGGCAACAGCGTGAGACCCTGTATCAAAAAAAGGAAGTAGGCACCTCTTCAGATAAATGTAATATTTCATAAATTGTTTGACTTCATCTGATTTTGCTTTGCTGACAACCCAACACTTATTTATTTAATTATTGTTGAACTTCAGTGTTTGGGGGGTCCATAGAGCCCCTCCTCAGTAGGCAGTTATTATCTCTTATTTACTTGTCACTGAATTTTTCAGTTTCAACATATAATTTTAGAATCTAAGTCCTGAAGAAAATACCACATTTTCAAATGTGATTTTTCTGAGTTCTGTGCTGGTAGGCGACGCTGTCAGTGCTCTCTCAGATCTTTACTGGGCAGTGTACCCAACCCCCAGATGTTCTCAGTGTTGGCCAATAACAATCCATGGCTTTTCAGAACTTTGCTCTTAGCCAAATAGAACTAGCCACAGGAATCCAAAGCGCTCCCTCCCACCACCCTGCAGTCCCTGTAAAACGACTGACTAATTCAGGAGTACAAGGCTGGCTGCTTTGTCTTAAGGTGGCAACAATTCTGCTGTGCAGTTTATGTGCCAGAGGTTTTCATGGCATCAGATTAAAGCTATTGGATAAACCACTTCTCTTCTCCCCCTTTTGAGAGGATTCTTTTGGCAATTTACTTGAACAAAAACCCACACCTCAGGCTTTATTTCTTGGGAACCTAAACTAAGAGCCCAAAGCCACAACATAAAAGACTGCCACTGGGCACTCTACTCACAGACTTGCTTACAAAAACACATTGCACATACTGGAATACAAAGAACACACGAACTACAAAAATATTTATTAAAATCCTTCTCTAAAACTTGTATATTATGTAAGGAATAACTTGTATTAAAAACTTCACGTGTTTCTCATAGCAAAAAGGGAGAGCTATTCTAGATACTATTCAATAGATCTGAGCTGTTCACTATTATTCTGTTACTATAACTCTGCCCATGGTATATATCATGGTATTCTATGAGTATATTGTATGTATACCATTTGAATGTATAGTACCTTACACGTTAAGCTGCTGTTTTATGATTATAATCAGGTAACAATCAATCAACACTCCAGATAACTCAAGATGAGGCAAAATACCATCTACGTTTGAATTGCATGATGAGTTTATCTTACCTCTTATTGTTATCTATAGAATGGTTACTAAAATATGTAGCATAATAAACACAATCCAAATATATCCATATATCCATAAACAAAGGTCTACAAGAATATATACTAATCTGCAATTGGTGATGAGCCTAAAAGCTTAGATGGGAAGGTGATAGGGATTGAGCTTTTAATAAATCTTTAGATTATTTTATAGTAAGCAATACTTTCATAATTTTTAAAGACAAGAAGGAAAGGAAATAATAATAAAGACTTCCCTGCCAACACAGGGATTTTATATGTCTTGTAAAACAGTAATCATCCACCTACTTTCTGGAGAAATGTTAGTATATTGTGAACAATGCACAAATAAGAAATCTATCATTCAACAATATATAGAATAGAAAAGTGGAATTCTGATTTTTATATCCCACAGGTATGATTTGTTGTTTTGAAATGTTAATGAATTCATAATCATAGACCAAATCAACACAATGGAAAAGCAGACCTCATTCCAATGCTAATTACATAGGCTACTTGGTCCCACTTTGAAACCTCTCTGAAATAAGATTTAATACATTAATTTTTTCGGATACCCTGTTAGCAAATATTCAAGTATATTCATATTGCTCTCTAGAAACAATGAACTGAATAATTCAACTTTTCTCCACAGTAAAGTCAATCCATCTGATTGTATAGACATGGTTTGTGATGCCAAGAAGAAATCTTTTCTTAGAGACATAGATGGCTCCTTTCTGGGGAGTGCTGGTTCTGTGATACCTCAAGCAGAATATGAATGGGATGGAAACAGCCAAGTAGGAATTGGAGACTACAGAATTCCTAAGGCGATGCTCACATTCTTAAATGGAAGTAGAATTCCTGTCACAGAGAAAGCACCTCATAAAGGTTTGTTGGATCTTATTCTGTTGTTAGGCCTTAAACCCATGAAACAAAATATATGTTTTATTTTTAATGACTTATCTACTCAACCAATAACTTATATTTTCTGCTTCTTAAACTGGCATAACAAGAAAAAGATGTTACGAGGATTTTCTTACAAAGAGATTCTGTATTATTGCTAAAATATATATAATATGTTTCTAGGAATTATTAGAGATTCAACCTGTAAGTACGTTCCAGAGTGGCAGAGCTATCAGTGCTTTGGGATGGAATATGCAATGATGGTTATTGAAAGTCTGGATCCTGACACAGAAACTCGAAGACTTTCCCCAGTGGCTATAATGGGCAATGGTTATGTTGATCTCATTAATGGTAGGTATTCAATATGCGTAAACTAGAGTTACTCAAAACATTTGTTTGTTATTAAATGCATGAAGCTATCTCATAAATTATTTACCCCACACAACTAGCAAACATGAGGCCTTGTTTGCCTTCCATTTGTAAGAATGAGCAATGCGCAGGGAAGAGACTTGATTTTGCAGTACCTCATCCAGGAAAGTGAGGACAGTTATTTAAAATTGGCCATTAAAATAAAAAGAAGAAGGAGGGGAAGAGGGATGGAGAGGAGAGCAACAAGAAGGGGGAAAGTTATTTCTGGAGTGATCTTCATACTTTATTGATAAGGTGGTATAAGTATTTTGAAGGAAAAAAATAGTCCAAGTATCTCCAAAAAATATAATTTGCCTAGTGTATATTAAAAATTGATAATGTGTTTGATATTTAAAATATCATGTATATAATGTGTTGTATATTAAAAATTGATAATGTTGGAATACCTGACAAGAAGTATTCTCAGCCTGCTCATGTTTTATTCGCATGAATCTTTGGAAGACTTACCTTGCCATCAACATGTTTTTTCATCTCTAATTCCTTTGATTGTCAAGACCAGTTGGTCAAGCTGTAGCATCAGGTTTCTTCCATTCTGGTCTTAGGAGGCTGTAGCAGAGAAGGAAGGTAATGGTCTCCATGCTCAGGAGACCAAGGTTTTTTGAATGAGTAAGATGAATTTCTTAAGGTAGTGAAAACACAGACAAGGATTCATCGTATATTCTTGAAATGACACCAGGGGCTCAAAACTTGGTCCCTAAACAGGCTTAGATTAGGATCTTTTATGTGCTGAAAGTGTATATAGTTTGGATTAGATAGATTTCTGTGCCCTTGTGGTGTCACAACATGTACTAAAATATTCTAGAAATCAGTAAAATATAAATGCTTTAAAAACTTGTTTGTAAGAACAGAATGAACTAAATCAGGAGTATTCCAAAGTTTCATGATTCTAGGGCTTTCCTCACTTCTCCCACCCCAATGTGTGTTATGCCTGGTTTCTGTGACCTGCAGTCAACCCAATTTTAGATGCTGCTTTTTGGATTTTATGAAGCAGAGATCATGAGAATAACTTTAGAACTGTCAATGAATAATGGAGTAATAGAAGAGATCTTTCCAAATAGCTCTGTTTTATATGGTGGATAAAGATTTCATTGTCTTATTTTTACATTTCCCTTTTCTGGCAAGCAATACAAGTTCTCCATTTGCAATTATGACAAGACATATTTCTTCAATATGAATTTAAATTTTAAAAAGTGACTATCAATTTAAAGAATTCTTATGTAAATGATAGCAGCACAGAAAAATCATGAAGGTGTTAGAAGAATCACTGAAGCTTGGGATGTGCTATACTAGACGGGGAAAAAAAATTCCCCAAGATAAAAGTTACAGAAAATCACTTAAGTTTCCTTTTGAATATTAATATTAAATTTTATTTATCTTAAAAATACGACTTTTGCCACTTTAAATTTTTATGTTATACATAGATATTTCTTTATGTTTTCAAAACTCACAAAGAAAGTTAAGTAGGATTTGTATTTTGTATGCTAAGGAAAAGGTTAGGCTCTACAGGAGCTTTAGAAGTTTATATTGATTTAAAATTTGATTGAAGTGTAGTTATAAATATTGATAATACTTCCAAGTAAGCTAGGAAATAAAGAAAACCTAATGAATAAATACATCAATAAAATTCATTCCATATTTCACTCAATGTTTTATATATGTATAATCTCAGCCACTTTAAAACTAAGTGAAATACAGAAGTTTGTTATGAAAGTCATTTTAAACATGCTCAGAAAATGTTTGGATTCAGGTAGAAAAGCATTCACTATTTCTTGGCTTTCTAGAGGGTTTGATGGAGTGTTATTTCTTGGGTGGCTTCAGTTAATTAATGATTTTAACACTCTAATGGTACCTGTAGTAACAATTGTCAACAAAAATTTCTTAAATTAAAATTAAAATGGAGGAAGATTAATGACTTGATTAGACGAATGTGTTTGCTGAATTTATAAATTAACTATTTTTAAAAAACAAGTGCATGAGTGAAAGAACGAATTAATGAATCAATGGTTCAGGCATTCAGATGTCCCTGTTTTCCAGGTGCAGAGCCTATTGGTAACAAACTAACTCTGTTATAGCACATTTCCTAACAAAGAGCCTGAGAAAGTTCAATTCCCACTCAAGCTTTTATTTGGTAGGGAGGAGAAAGGATCAAGCATTTTCTTCCTGACCATGTGGCCTAGGCTTGAATATTATCATTAAAGTAGAGATATATGCAAATCTACTATTTCTCTCAGTGACCTTGCAATACAAATTCTTATTACCACCCTTCTTACCCTGGGCAGTGTAAAAGTAAGGGTGATAGGAAGAAGTTTCTTCTCTGCCTTCCTTTTTAAGCCAAGGTTTGAGAAATAGCTTAGCTGGCTGGGTAATGGTGGATGGGTAATAGGTATAAATGCTGAACTTGCATTTGAACTTGACCACGGCAATTTATTTTAAATACAATTACTCTTCAGATTTTATACTAATAAAATGCATTATATAGGAATATGCACTTTCATTTTACATGGATTTAGGCCCACAGGATCATGGCTGGTGTGCTGGATATACATGCCAGAGAAGGCTATCCCTGTTTCACAGCATTGTGGCTCTGAACACATCTTATGAAGTTTACTTCACTGGCACCAGTCCTCAGAATCTTCGACTGATGTTGCTTAATGCTGACCATAATAAGGTAGGACAAGATATCTTAAGGGCAATTGCTGTTGATTATTTGCATGTTATTTCTATCTGCTAAGACTTGTATCTCCTCCCTTATTCTAGCATTGTCAGCCTTACAGCCCATTTCCAAGGATGCATCAGGGTACCACTGAAATTATTATTAGTCTAGACAGTTTTCATTAGCCTGAAGGTACAAATACCAAGCATCACCATCATCCCCTTGCCATATGCACTTGATTTGGTGCTCCATACATGAGGCATGACAGTGATGCCTATGATTTGCATGATTAACAAGCAAACCTAAATTTTTACATAAAAATAATGTACCTTCAAAACTGATCACTTGGAATTATATACTTATTCTTCAATGCTGCTATTACTTATATATGTCAGAAATACACCTTTGGAATTTACTTCAGAGACTGCAGCATGTTATTTTTAATATCTTCAATAATGTCAAGTCTTTGCTAGAAACTGAACTCAGACAGGATCATTAAATTTATATTTAATTAGTATGAAAAGAGTATGAGTTTAACCAGTAGTGTCATAATTCAGATTTTCTTTTCTAAGAATATGAGACTTTAAAGTCCCAGGGTGTTTAACGTGAAGAAAGAATGCTGATAAGGTGAAGCAGAGAAAGGAATAAGGGAAGGAGGCACCTGCCCCTTCCCAGGAGACAGCAGTTCCATCCCTTCGCACCAGATAAAACCTTGGAAGCACTCTTGACTCCTCTCTTTTGCTCACATTCCTCATCCAATCCATCTGCAAGTTGTTTTGAGTCTGTCTTCTTCAAAATACCAGAATCTGTCCACTTCTCACCACCTCCACTGCTACTATCCAGTTTGAGCCTTTCCTGCATCATGGTAATTGCCTCCCAATTCCTCTTTCTACTTCCACCTTTGCCCTTCTATAGTCTGTCCCCAACTTAGTAGCCAGATACCTTGAAAATATGTCAGATCACGTCTCTCCCATGCCTCAAACCCTGTAACAATTTCCCTATTGGTCTCTGTCCCAGAGTTAGAGTCCTCACCATGACCTGTGAGGCCCTATGGGAATCTCTCTCATTCCTGAGCTCTCTGGCTTCTTCTACTCCTCCAGCCCCACTGAGCTCCTTGTTGTTCCTAGGGACACCAAACATGCTATCCCCTAGGCCTATGTTTCTCATGTTGCCTTAGCCTAAAACACTCTACCCTAAGCGGCTAAAGTTCCTGTCGCCTCAGATTCCACTTTCTCAATAGGCCTCCAAGATCATGCCTTCTTCCTTGGCTCTCCCAAGTTACACGCACCCTGATTTACATTTTTCTTTTCTCCACAGGATTCATCACTATCTACCATGTTTCCTACTTTACCTTTTATTACTTCTATTTTTTGTCTCTCATCACTCTTGAATATAAGCTCAAAGAAGCCAGTGGCTCTTGCCAGCACTTAGAATACCGCATGGCTGAAATAGGAACTCAAAATTTTCTTTTTAAAAAAATCAGAAGAGAATATTTTAACTCTAAAAATGAGAATGGTGACTACAAAGTAGTGTGACTGTTAATATTCTGAGCCTCTGAAGACAATATCAAAAGAAGATTCCAGAACTATGTATAGCTTATTAAAATCCATATTAATCCTTCCCTGCTCTTGGAAAAGCCAGTCTCTTTATGATCATAGCTGATAGCATGAAATGTAAGCAATATAAACATGAAAAATGAATAAAATTGAATCAGAGAGGATAGTTATTTTGACATTTATTAGTCTTTCTACCAAATTTTTCTCAGAGATGAGCATTTTTTTTTCCAACATGAAGTACCTAATTTTGTGTGGCTGCATTATACAGAGTACAGCTAAGTCCCCCTTTCCCTGCTCCTGATATTGAAAGTCTGTATTGTCCTTTGTTGTCTTTTAAATGACCCTTTTTTTAAACTTAGAGATAGTCATCTAATAATTTATCTTTTTGTACTTTTCTATTGAGAATGGTCAATTAAGGGTTAAGTTGTACTATCTGTATGAAAGGTTGAATGTAAGCCCATTTGAAAATTTTAGTTCATCACTTATCCCAAATCCATAAAAGTTAGGTTTTTGTTTGTTTTGTTTTGTTTTTTCAGACGGAGTCTCGCTCTGTTACCCAGGCTGGAGTGCAGTGGCGCGATCTCGGCTCACTGCAAGCTCTGCCTCCCGGGTTCACGCCATTCTCCCGCCTCAGCCTCCAGAGTAGCTGGGACTACAGGCACCCGCCACCTCACCCTGCTAATTTTTTGTATTTTTAGTAGAGACGGGGTTTCACCATGTTAGCCAGGATGGTCTTGATCTCCTGACCTCGTGATCCGCCCGCCTCGGCCTCCCAAAGTGCTGGGAGCCACCGCGCCGGGCCAAAACTTAGTTTTAATAGTTTGCAGAAAGTATACAATATTGAAGCATGGTTTAAGTGCTAAATTACAAATATTCTGTTTTATTGCTTTCTTAAGACAAAACTTTTTTTTCTTTAATAGGCTGTTCTAGTAGGAATTTTCTTTTCCACACTTCAACGTTTGGATGTCTATGTGAACAACTCATTGGTCTGTCCAAAAAATACAATATGGAATGCCCAGCAGAAACACTGTGAACTTAATAACCATCTGTACAAAGGTATTTTCTCAAAAAATACAGTACATATGGAATATGTACTTATTTGTAACATTTTAAATGTCTGATTATTAGTATTTTTAATTCTTTATCTATTGATAATGCAGAAGAAAACAAGTTTTTAGCCACAGTCCACCAAATACTAAGATGTGTTCATTTGTAACATGAGTGTCTTGAAAGATCACTCCTAATGAAACTTATTTATCTGTGCACATGCAGGTATGAGTTTTTATCATGGGCATTCTTTTGCTTCCTAAGAATGTTTTCATTTCGCATACGTTGAATTCAGTCCTTCCTATGTTCAGAAGAGATTTTGCTTAAAATTTTCACCTTATCTTGGCTTTACTTCTATTTCATAGAGGTTAGAGCCTAAATTAATTGGCAGTCATAAGAATTATTGCCAAGAAAGCTAATATAACATCAACTAAAGGTTTTGAAGTAAATATGATAAAATAAACTTTTGTTAAATGAAACCTATGGAAGAGGCTAAACTTATTCATTGACCAATATTTGTAAAACCAGGATTTATATCTGCTTATGTAAGTCTTTTTGTTAAACAGGATTCTAATGAGACCAATAGCATACATTCCATTCCACATGGGCTATTCATCCTCATCTTCTGATGTGATCCATAATCTTAGCTAACCATTATATAGATGTGTGTGGTAGATCATAATATGAGCTAGACTTGAAAATATGAATGGGTAATCTGTTTGCTTTTATAGAAGAAGTCATATTCCTATTAATAACATGAATTGCTAATGTTTCCAGAGACATTAATATATTTCAGGCACAGCTCTACATGCTTTATGCCTAACTCATTGTTACTACATTATAGTAACTCTTTGAGGTAGGCACAGATGGCTAATTGAGACACAGGAAGTAATTTGCCAAGATAGTAGTCTTAGTTCAGTCTGCCATAACAAAATACCACAGATTGAGTGGCTCAAACGACAGAAATTTATTTTCTCTGGATGTCTGAAAGTCTGAGATCAGGGTGCCATGATGGTCATGTTCTGCTGAGGGCTCTTTGCTTGGCTTGCAGATGGCCACTTTCTTGCTGTGTCCTGACATGACTGAGAGACTGTGATGCGAGCAAGCTCTTTGGTGTCTCCTTTTAGAAGGGCACTAATTCCATCATGAGGTCTCCCCCTTCACAATCTCATCTAAACCCTCTTTCCTCCCAAAGGCTCTCATCTCCAAATATCATCACCTTGAAGGTTGGGGCTTCAACATGTGAAATATGGGGGCACAATTCAGTCCATAGCAGTCTTAAGCTAGTATGGTGCACAACAAGGACTCAAAAACAGTCTAGCTCTAAAACCCATGCACTTAACCATTATGCTATATTGCCTTCTTTTAAATTAAGAGAGTCAGCATTACTACTTTTTATATATAAATAGTTGTGTCATGAATGAAATGGCATTTATAGCTTAATTTTAATAAAATTTTCACTCTTTTCAAATAACACATATGGTACCAAGCGCAATATCATTCAGAGTCAGGAAAATAGGAACTATCTTCTTAGGCAGAGAGTTCCACTAACATATATTGAGCCTAGACAAATGCTGAATTGTATAATTAATAGTGGAATAAAACATCTAGCTTCTTACCACATTTCATTGTGAGGCTTATTAGGAAAAAGAAATTAAAATTTTAGAAAGAGGATGGAATTTCACAGTAATGAAAAAAGCAGAGACATAAATTAAGAAAACATTTCCAAAACCCCAAAATATGTATAGATCCATAACACAGGGATATTATTTTGTTCTCCATAGACAGAATATAATGTAAAGAATTGATAATGTAGGTGCTGAAGAGCTGGAAAACAATTCCACCACTGCCCTCTTACAGATAAATGTGTGTTTTATGGTAGTGGTAGTGGTGTTTTTCTGAAACAGCATTGCTTTTAAGTGAGCGTTTTGCTTTGGCACTTGGAATGCAAAATAATATCCCTGTGTTATGAACCTATACATACTTTGGGGGTTACCCAAATGTTTTATTATCTTTGTCTCTGCTTCTTTCATTACTGTGAAATTCCTTCTTCTTCCTAAAATTTTAATTTCTTTTTCCCAGTAAGCCTCACAATGAAATGTAAGAAGCTACATATCTCATACCACCACTATTACACAATTCAGCGTTTGTCTGGGCTCAACATGTGTTAGTGGGTTTATTAGCTCTTAGACATTGTTGATACTCTGACATAAAATAATACATATTTATTCATTCATTATAATGATCTCAATCACTTTTGTAAAATTCAGTTCCCTAGCAGAGTTTGTTTTGCATTCACCAAACTTTTTCAGGCTGAAATGTAAGTCTGTTTAGTTGGTATAAGGTTCTTCTGAGATGTTTTAACATATACTTCATTTATATTACACAGTTTTGTCCTTAGTTAAAATAGAAACACTGAATTGTAAATGCTCTTTTAAGAGTTGGCATATAGCACTGCATAAATTAGATAACTAGTAAAGTTAAATTTATATTTTTAAATTACCAAATGCCTTCAGTCAAGTCTTTAAAATCATGAGCATGTGAATAGCGTTTCAAGTACAGTATAGGCTCCTGGGATCATAACTCAATTTGTTTCTCATTTATACTGTGTCTATATAGCTAATTATTTTTTAAAACAAACAATGTGTAATGATTATTTGTGGTATTTTTTAAAGGAGTGGCTTTAATTTCACAAGTCAGTTCTATAAGTGTTTTTGTTTTTAAAAGGTATGCTTTCTTGTGAAAGAATGATAAAGTTGAATTTTGGGGGGATTTTCTAAATTCAAATAAACATTAAGTAATGCATGTTGATTGTGATAATATATAATACTTAGCTGTGCTGTTCTGGCTTTTTTCCTTCATAGACCAATTTCTTCCTAACCTGGATTCCACTGTCCTTGGTGAAAACTACTTTGATAGAACCTACCAGCTGCTTTATCTTTTGGTGAAAGGAACTACACCTGTTGAAATTCACACTGCCACAGTGATATTTGTTTCTTTCCAATTACCTGCTGCAACAGAAGATGACTTTTATACCTCTCACAATCTGGTTAGAAATCTTGCCTTGTTCCTAAAGATACCAAGTGACAAAATCCGTATCAGCAAAATGATAAGAAGGAAGAGTCTGAGAAGGAAGAGATCCATGGGATTCATAATTGAAATAGAGATTGGAGACCCTCCTATTCGGTTCTTAAGCAATGGCACCACAGGTATGAATAACAGTTGTTTGAGATGGAGGAATGCAATTACCAAATCCACATCCATAAATAACCTGATCAGGGCCTGGCGAGCCAGGCCTCAGGAAGTCCCATCAACCCCACATCCTGAACCCTCCTACGCACCTAGAGACCCGTTTTCCTGTACTACCAAACTCTTAGAATTGGAAGGAATTTGAATCTCTGTTTTGTTATTGTGATGATTAATAAATTCAACAAAAGAATTTGATCTAATATAAAAAGATCTGGGAAGACCTACTTAAGCAAGTGACCTTATAGATGAGAGATTAAGGATGAAGATAGTCAATGAAAAGACAGAGGAAAAAGAGTGTTCAGGCTATGGAAACTGTTGGTGAGAGTTTGGTGCATTTGAAGAGAGGAAACAGGTCCAATTGGTCTGGAGTGGAAGGAGCCAGGAAGGACAAGTTGCTGCAGGTGTAGCCGAGGGCTAGACAGGTGCTAGACGTGGAGAACTTTGGAAGTCAAAGGAAGGACTGTGGATGTTTTCTTAAGAAGAAGAGTAGATATTCTTGGATATTCTGAGCAGTGGAGCTGTGAGTTAGATGTCCATGGTAAAGTCACAGGTTCACCCTAACAAGGGCAGATGTGCAAGTACATAATGTGTCTTTATTTCCTGTGACTGAGCAAATCATCCTCATGAGCCATCATCCCCTCTTTGTGTCCCTCACTTTCTAGTTTTTATCAGAGATAAAAAAATAAGCTCAATTGTCCCATCAGAGAAATCTCTGCTGGCTTAAATCATTTCCTTAGGGTTACTCAGTTTGGGCACTTGGGTAAATGCTCAGCTCTCCAAATTTTCTCTATCCATCTGCTCCTTTCAAGTTGGGGTCTGAATACCAAGGGGCTGTCCTGGCCTCCATCCTCGTGTTATCATCTTGTCTTCACAGCCTCTGCTACAGAGTGGGTCAACTTCTCTGCTCTACATATGCATCTCTTGAGGTACTACTGAACTTTCCTGGTCTTCTGGCATGCAATAACATCCCCCACTGCTAACCTGCAGCCATGCCTTTGTCTTCAGTGGTCAAGCGCAAGTACTCTGACCTAGGTGTACCCCTCCCCAAGAATAGGGGAGGCAGGTATCTGTCAGAGGAAGATCTACCATCCAGCTTATGAAGCTTACGCTTCAAGTCCCCTTACTGATACAAGTCCTGGGAGGGGCTTTCACTTTCAATACCTTAGGAGAGGTCCTCATAATGTGGTCAAATCATTGAATGTTATTATGAAAGCTATAAAGGTATGATTTTTCTGCATTCCTTTTCCTAAAGAGATCTTCCAGATGTGTATAAACTGCAGCCCCACAAGGTTGGGATCTACCCTATCTACCTGTCTTCAGTCACTTTATCATTAAACTCCTAGGCTCTGTGTAAACCTGGGTACTGGGTGAAGTTCTCATTTTATGCCACTAGGGATCGTCACTGATTTTCCCAAGAGGTTTGCTTCTAGGCATTGACTCTATGCACCTACCATATTATCACTCTGGAATTCTACCAGCTAAGCAGATGGAAGTTTCTTCCATTGGGGGATAAGCCTGTGGGAAGGCTTGCCTGCATGGAGGGAGGTGTTTATAAACTCTTGGTTAGAAGAGCGTAGGAAGCATAGGCTTGTGTTGCAACCAGATCTCCCACAATGTTCTCTGCCCAGAGTCATAGTTAACTTTCCTTCGTCAGTTCTGTATTCACTTGGACTTACAGGCTCAGGATTTGGACTCAGCAGGACTTTGCCTGTTACTTTAGGAGTTGTAGAGGGTCGATGGCACATATACAGATTACTCACCTACTCTTAGAAATCCCTGGTGAGCCCTTACGTATTGTGAGGTCCAAAATTTATCATACTAGCCACTAGATATCCAAAGAAACTGGGATTTATTTCTTACATGTGACATACATTTCCCCACATACAATCCCTACTACGTCTGTACCCTTAAATCTGTTTTAGCTTGTTAGATGTATCCAGACAGGTATAAGACCATTGAAGAATGTAGAAGATAGGGATGGTGGGAGGGACAAGCTAATGGCATGCTTTCCAGACATAGACTGGGATAGTGTTTCAAGTCTCAAGGAGAACCCTACAACGTGGTGAATCACAACAAAATGTTGAGAAATGGCAACAAAGATGTTCATGTAATTGTACTCCTGGCTTCTTATAGCTTTTATATAGTATCAGGATATCCAGAAATTCCCAGATGTCCTAGAAAGGGGTTACCTATGTATTAAAGGCACTTATGAGCAGACAGAATTCTAGAGTCAGGAATAAGAGGCCTTCAAGTTAAGGTCTTTGGTTTCTAGATGGCAATCAGCAGAAATGAATGCCCTCACATGTCAAATGGTCAGCGAGAACCTGTTAACAGTGCAGACCGGATCAGACCTGCCATTCCATGCCAAAAACCAGTGAAGACAAAGTAGTAGTAGTAGTGCATGGACCTGAAGCAGTTCTGTACTGCTACAGCCAGATACACAAGCCCTCAGACTTGGGAGGCCTCCTTGGAGAAGGCTATTTCTGGAGGGAGTATGAGGAGAGGGAGGAATCTGAAAGACTGAGCCTTTTTCCAAAAGAGTCTGCATCATCCAAAAGAGTCCTTTTAAACTGACAAGGAATGAAATGGCTTAGGACTGTGGGGTTCATAGTGTCATGTCAGACCTGCTGGCCCAAGATGTTACCTGCTTCTTCCTGAGTACTCTAAGCTTTATGGCTTAACTTTAACGGAAGAAACTCAGTGATTTGATTCCTCAAGGCATGACTCTGGATATAGAAGGTACAGGATACCTAGGAACAAGGGGTTAGCAAGGCCTGCAATACACCAAAACGTTATCCTGTTTTACAGTTGTTTCTTAAAAGATCAGTCTGACTCCAGAGAGTCAGATTAAAGGTGGTTTTAGTAACCCTGCTGATGTGGCTTTAATTAGGACTTTAACAGCAGGGACAGAGCGATTTAGAAATTGGTAATGGATTAGATGTGGCGTAGTGGAGAGGTGAAGGAGCAGGGATTAAGCAAAACTACCAGGCTTCTGAAGAAAGGAATATGGTGCATGAAGGTACCACTTTATAAGGTAAGGAGCACTATGGGGGCAGAAGGTTTAAGAGGAAACCCTAGACCTGCCATGCTAGAAAAGGGGAACAGAAACTATATGTAGTGTTAAAAGTAACTGAGAATTGTCAAATGTCCGAAGCCAGTAACAATTGGTTAGTAATTTAATAACTTTAGCAACTAATATATGAATACATACACATAATATGATGGATTCTAACAATCCTTCCATTCCAAAATTAACACTTTATCTTTTAAAATGACATATGATAATAGAAAGGCATGATAATGCTTCATTGGTAAAGAAAGATTGCTATGAGAAAGTATTAAATTAAGAGACATATATTCTCCCACTATGTTTTCATTCGTTTTTCTTGTATCTGTTTTATCTACCTTTGTTTTTCCTTTAATTCCAACTTAAAGTATATTCTCCTGAGCTCTTCCTTTTCCTCCCCTCATTAATATGACTGTTGTGTTTTGCTCAGGGAAGATCAGAAAGCCTTGGAATTCTATAATGCAATGGAGCAATGCAAAGAAAGCTAAAGTGAAAAACTCTCACGTGTTTTCACAGTTCTATGCTTTTATAATCCAAATGTCACCATACTGTTTCCCTACAGGTCAGATGCAATTATCTGAACTCCAGGAAATTGCTGGTTCTCTTGGACAAGCTGTAATTTCAGGAAAAATCAGTAGTATCCTTGGATTTAACATTTCATCCATGACTATTACTAATCCCCTCCCCAGACCAAGTGACTCTGGCTGGATTAGGGTAAGAAAATGCAACTAGAAAAAATGCATTTTTCGGGACTTAAAATATCATTACTTATTTCTTATTTTAACTGTCTGTTTCTATTTCAAAACAATTATTTAGAAGGCATGTGTTTCTTATTTATTGTTGACTTTTCATAGGCTCGCTAAAATGATAATAAAGTTGTTTGAACAAAGGAGCATATCTTCCAAAAGTTGTGTATTGGTTCCAAATTTGCTTTGCTTTGCATATTTATAACAATGCTTCATAAATTTAATGGAAGAAATATTGTAATTATATTAATTTTACATAATGAGCATATTTTAAAATAAATAATGAATATATTACACTCAGCCTGGCTAAAATGAGTTTGCTGCTGAGTATAGTTTATCACCTAGAAACCAATCCATCCCTTGTGCATTCACAGGTAACTGCCCAGCCAGTTGAAAGGTCTGCGTTTCCTGTTCATCATGTGGCCTTCGTGTCCTCACTCTTAGTGATCACTCAGCCGGTGGCAGCACAGCCGGGACAGCCGTTTCCTCAGCAGCCTTCGGTAAAGGCAACAGATTCTGACGTAAGTCATAACTCAAAATTTTACTTAAGTGAAGGAATTAAGCTACAAATTCTGAAGGATGAGCCAGTTTCACTCATCCTGGTGTGCTGGCAGCCTGAGGATCGCCCAGCCCCTTTAGAAGCTGGACTAATATCCAAGGGTGCCATCTTGTACTGTCTTAAAAATGTTGATGTTAGATGAACTTCTGCTGCTCAGATTTATGAACTCTGTGTGTGCAACAAGGAGCTTGTGCAGCTTTTCAATTTATAAAGAGGCATTTTTGAAAATAAAGTTTTGCATATTTTTTAAAAGCATGGAAACAGAACAATTGTTATAATTCTCTACTTTTTTTTTTTTTTTTAGGGTAACTGTGTATCAGTTGGAATTACTGCACTAACTTTGAGGGCCATACTCAAGGACTACAATAATAACCAAGTCAATGGCCTTAGTGGAAATACAACAATTCCGTTTAGCAGCTGTTGGGCCAACTACACAGACCTTACTCCCCTTAGAACAGGTGGGTACACTAGTTTGGATCCTCACATATATAACCTAAGCAGAGACAATTATAATGGTCTTTTAATGAACAAAACATTCGGTAACACTCTGGTGAATAAACTATAGATATCAGAATGCTATATTTTGCCTTGTTTCAGAAAATATTTAGTCTAGCTTAAGAGTAGATTTAATATGTGAAAAAAATAGAAATTAAAATAAAAAATTAAGGAAATCAAAATTATATCATGATTTATCTATTTGTATACTTTTCTAAATTTGCTCACTAAAGATGTATTACATTTACAGTAAGAAAAATAACATATGGATTTTCAAATTCAATAAAAGAAAGGATAAGGTAGGCTCATATAACTTTAATGTCTTAAAGGAGGAGTTCAGAGTTGGGCTAGAAAGTTGGCTGTGGTCTTAAAGCCAAAGCAAAAGAGAAAATGAGCATTATCATAATTTACAGTACCCATCAAATAAACAGACCAGTTGCTGTGGAGAATTATAATATTCTCTGAGAACAGAACAAATGTCCCCTGTGATTTTTCAGAAAGTGTGCATAATTAATTTCTATTAAGTAATATCTTGAACATCGGTGCAGGAAATACAGCCATGACTGCCACAATTAACATTTTTTATACTATCTTCATACAGGTTGATGACACAACTCTGACTAGTAAAAACCATTCTACCAGGGCCCAAATGATATATCCCCAAACAGATCTCTCTTGGTGATAGAATGTAGAGTATCTAAAAGAATGAAATGGATAAACTGCTTACATTTGAGAAAGGCCTCCATTGTTCTATTTCTCCCAACCCAGGACCTATTTAAGACAGTCAGGGGCCTTAACTTCTGAAAAGGCTATGTAGTGGCACCCCCGCCCCACTTTTTTGCCCTGAATTTTTGTTTCTCCATGATTTGTTAGTGCCCTACACCAGATATGTTCAGTCTTCCTACTGGGCAGCAATATCTCAGCCTAATGTTTGCTAATAATTAAATGACAATTAGTTTAATGGTGTGCTCCTAGACAAGTACCTCGTATCCCATTGCTTTCTGGTTAAGAGCAGAGCTAAATTCTTTTAACTATCAGCCCAAGTGGAATTTTTTTTTATGGGAAATGAGGCAGCTGGCAAGAACCCTACCTGAAAAGAAGTTTGTTCACCTCCTCATGAGGGTGGACCCAATAAGTGCCCAGTGGCAACGAACCAACCTTGTGACCAAGGTCTTCAAACTACAGTGTTCCAAAAGTACCCAGGATCACTGGGGCATTAAGGCACTAAAATAGGTTTTGGCATTTTACTGTGGCAACAAAATAATAATTTAAGCATTTTTCTTTCATACATTAAGTTTTTTTCAGAATTCAAAGCTTCCCTTGGGAGTATCTGTCTTACTTGCCATGGAGAAGTACCAGGGCTCTTCACCTATGTGTTTCCTTTTCCTTCCTTCCCTTCCTTCCCTCCCTCCCTCCCTCCCTTCCTTCCTTCCTCCCTCTCCTTCCTTCCATCCTTCCCTCCCTCCCCCTCTGTCGTCTCTCTTACCCTCTCCTTCTCCCCTCCCCTCTTCCTCTCTCTCTCTCTCTCCTTTTTTCTTCATCAAGTGTGACATCTCAGTTCCCTGGTTATGTACAATAGGGAAAGCCAAGTATAGGGATCTCTTCATTATTTTTAAATCAACTAGCCAGTTTGTAGATTAACCACAGTAAAATTATAACAACAACAAAGCATTAGTGAGAAAATTAACAAAATATCTTTCACTGACTCTTTCTAACAGGTAAGCCCCACAGTCACTGCACTGAAGGAAATCCCCTTGCTGATCAGACTGTGGCCTGACAGCACAGCACCCCTCTTCTACATATAGCTCCATAAAGAGCAAAGCAGAGTATTTGGGTAGAGGAGATATGGGTTGTGGTTTCTAACACAGAAAATGGTGATGTGAGAAATGGGTGGGAGAAAAAGAATCTGCATCTTTAACCAACCTAGATAAAGACAGTATTACTAATAGACACTGGGACATATTTGTTTAGCATCCTGTGTAATGTTTAGTGCTTGTTTCAGTTTCTATTGCTATGTAACAAACCAGCCCCAAATCTAATAACACCATTTCATTGGCTCACAGTTGTGTGTGTCAGAAATTTGGGCCAGGATGGCTCATCACTGCTCCAACGTCTGGGGCTTCAGCTGGGATTTTCTGTTAACTAGAGCTGGCTAAGATGGCTTAATTGAGGTCATATCTCTATGGACCTGATTCTGGATTTCAGCTGGGTTCCTCAGTTCTCCTCTATGTGGTCTTTCCATAAAGCTAGCTTGGGCTTCTTCACAGTACTTCCAGAGGAGAAAAACAAAATAAAAGGACTACCCTAAATTATTTGCGCATCAAGAAAACTAATAAAAAAAAAAAACTCACCTGCCACAAAAATTCAGATTTTTTAATGCAAAAAGAAAAAAAATTTAATACACCATTGTCAGGAATTGTCAGTGACAGAAAATTCTATAGTACAGTGCCCATATATCCTGAAAGTTATATAATGAATTGCAATTGTTCATAAAACCACAGATGTGATCAAGATCTAATTATATTCTCTTCCTAAATAAAGAATGAAAACAGAAATGACTTTTTAAAAACAAATAACAAAGAAAATAGATGAGTAAAAACTTACAGGGCTGTACAAGTATTAGAAATGCTATTCTGCGTGATGACTACTATAAATGATAGCAACAGACCCAAAAGAAATTATAGCAAGGAAAAATATATTGGTTATCTCCTATTCAAAACTGTGGGAAGATTTAACCTGGAGATTAAATAATATTGGATGAGCTCTTTAACTTTTTTACATTCTAAACACAAGTAACAATGTTTCTAAAATGTCTGCCCGGAGTAAGGAAAAAGGGTCACAGCCTTGTAATACAAAAATAGCATCTAACTTCAAACAAATGTGAAACATGGTAAAAGTTTTTTGAATTTGAATCTGAATGGAGGGCATATGGTTGTTTGCTATATTATTCCTTCAACTCTTTTCTTTTTTGAAATTTTTCAAATAAAATGTTCAGTATCCATCCCCACCGCCCCCAACTGAGACTGATGCTTCTCTACTCCTAGGTCAAGTACAAACGGATGAAACTGAGATTCAGCACCCTCACTTCTCTTCCCTACTGTCCCTCATTTCTTTTCTAACAGTCTTTGTCCAGTCCTGGGCACTAGGAAGGGGCTCTAAGAAGCAGGTACTGCTGCCACAGAAAGAAAATCTACCTAGCTTCCCTGTTGTTCAGTTAATGGACAGATAGAACTCTTCTAACTCTGAGACCCTGTCTATACTTGTCTGTACTTAAACTAATTTATTTGACTCAACTTTCAAAAATAGTTCATCAGGATCTATATAGTGTTTTTCAATCAATGAAAATCAAATGGGAACTGTATGAAAACAAGTAAAACATAAAAGGAAATCAAACACTATGATGCTTTTTTTTCCCAGGAAAAAATTATAAGATTGAATTTATACTGGATAATGTTGTTTGGGTAGAATCCAGAACTTTCAGTCTGCTGGCAGAGTCTGTCTCTAGCAGCAGCAGTGGCAGCAGCAGCAGTAGTAGCAGCAGCAGTGGCAGCAGCAGCAGCAACAGCAAAGCATCAACTGTGGGTACATATGCCCAGATAATCACTGTAGTAATTAGCTGTCTGATTGGAAGAATGTGGCTCTTGGAAATATTTATGGCTGCAGTTTCAACTTTGAAGATAACTTTAAGTAAGTACAGTCCATTAATACAGTATTTCTCCACATATTGAAGTACCAGTGTTTACTGGATAAAGGCTGTGTGCCCAGCTCTTGTGCATGATATCACTGTGTACACAAAGAGAAAGTAACAGCCTCAATGGCAGAGACAAGACAACCTATGGAAAATGTTATTCACTACATGTTGGTCTATAAGAATGTGGTGAAACAAGGCTGGGCACAGTGGCTCACACTTGTAATCCCAGCATTTTGGGCGGCTGAAGCAGGTGGATCACCTGAGGTCAGGAGTTGGAGACCAGCCTGGCCAACATGGCAAAACCCCAGCTCTACTAAAAATATAAAAACATTAGCTGGGCATGATGGTATGCAACTGTAATCCCAGCTACTTGGGAGGCTGAGGCAGGAGAACCTCTTGAGCCTGGGAGGTGGAGGCTGCAGTGAACTGAGATCCCGCCACTGTACTCCAGCCTGCATGACAGAGCAAGACTCTGTCAAAATAAATAAATGAAATAAATATGTACGTAAATAAATACGTACATAAATAAATTAATTAATAAATAAATAAATAAATAAAGTGGTGAAACAAAAGTGCAGGTCATGTCAGAACTCTTTTTGAGTTGCAAGATACAGATTCTTAGCTTGAAATGATCTAGCTAGTAAAGTGATCACTTAACTGAGAAGTCTAGAAGTTTCTGAAACAGTTGGATCTAAGGACTCAAATGGTATCTTCTAGAACTTCTGTCTCTTATTCTCTTGGCTCCACTCTCTTTGGTGTTGGCTTCACTTCCAGGCTGACTCCTCACCACCCCCAATCCTCATTACAAAGGTACCCCCCAACATTTTTTTTTTTTTTTTTTTTTTTGAGATGGAGTCTCGCTCTGTCGCCCAGGCTGGAGTGCAGTGGCCGGATCTCAGCTCACTGCAAGCTCCGCCTCCTGGGTTTACGCCATTCTCCTGCCTCAGCCTCCTGAGTAGCTGGGACTACAGGCGCCCGCCACCTCGCCCGGCTAGTTTTTTGTATTTTTTAGTAGAGACGGGGTTTCACCGTGTTAGCCAGGATGGTCTTGATCTCCTCACCTCGTGATCCGCCCGTCTCGGCCTCCCAAAGTGCTGGGATTACAGGCTTGAGCCACCGCGCCCGGCCCCACCACCAACATCTTCTACCAGCCCATCAACCAATACAGAAAGAGCTAACCTCTTTCCCAAGGGTTCCAGAGAAAAGCCCCAAAGCTATGTCATTGACCTGCCTTGGGTCACATGCCCATTCCTAAACCAATCACTGTGGCCACAGCATTCTAATTAGCTTGACCTGGGTCACATGGGGTAAGGTACTGAGAATGGTGGAGGTGTAGTTTCACTAAGGATAATAAAGGTGCTAGTACCAGAAATGACAGGCAGACAGAGACATTGAATATTAGAGAGATTAATAAAGGGGAGAGGTCTCTATTTGATTAGAGATGATTGCAAATGTCATTGCATTAGGAACACATGAAAGTTGGGACTGTATAAAATGTATAAGATTTGGAGAGGGAGGGAAAAGGCACTCAAGAACAGGGACATGATAGGAGCAAGGAAAAAATGACAGTAGAATAAAACATCTTCAGTTATACATGTTTACCACAGAATTCCTCATCATTTCCTTACAAACATACTTTTCCAGCTACCCCTTCTCAGTTAATGCCTTGCCATTTTTGCCTATCCTCCATATTGCTGTCAGATTTAAGGTCATGTAAAGCTAACAGTAATCTCAAATCCTCAACTATTCCTCACTACATGTAAAAAACAGAATCAATGTCAAAGACCTTGAAACAGTTTTGAAGACTGCCTCCTTTTACCAAAACATTTCCAGAAAGAATTCTCTCCATCCCACATATCCCCTATATCTATACCTTGGCTGCCAGCCTCTAATCACCAAGGTTACCTCTCACAGCATCCTTCTAGGTCTTGCTCAAATTCCACCTCATCCAGCAGGTTTCCCTTCTTCCTTCCCACTCTACATTTAATTCTCCTCTCCCTTGGTCTCCAATTGCACTTTGTGTTTGTATCATTATTATAGTCCTTTCTGTAATGTACTTGTATTAAGCTTATATTCAAATATATCTTCCTCACCAAATTGTGAGCACTTACAGGACTGTATGCCTTACGTATTATAAGTACTAAAAATGTGGTTTAATTGATTTTAAATATTGAAAGTGAAAGTTGAGTCTTTAACTCTGACTTAAGGGGAGATGTTGAGTAGGGGTATTGTAGGCAAATTGTAAAGAGTTTTTATTGGAATATATTAATCAGTTTTCAGTTTATTTAATGAGGGATAGTTTCTGACAGTTTAGTGAAAAAAATCACATAAGAGATACTGTATAACAAAGTTGAGGAAGAATTTGAGGTGAGGTAACAATTTAGAATAATACTAAAGCATATTGAGCAATAAAAGCCAAGACTAGATTTTAAATTTAAATATAAAGGATCAGGGGACATAGCAAGGCTGGGTGTGGAAGTGACAAAACAAACTGCAGGCTGAAACAAACTACTGGGGTCTCAGGAACAGCCAGAAAACAAGAAGAAGGAAATCCTTTCTTCTCTCCTAATGGAAAAAATTAATTGGAGTCCAGTGGTCAAAGGAGAAGCATGGTTTGCAGAGACCTTGTCCTGGCCTCTTATAGCTGAGTATAGACAGGGGGTTTTACATTACTTTTATGCCAGTTTTCTTGTCTCCAGAATAGTAATAAAAGTAAGACCAATTGTTTATTTTATAATAGAATGACAAGCATTTCTTTAATTCATTTTATTTTTTCTCAGAAGCATTAAAATATAAGGTCTAATTAGCTAAGTATTGCTCAATATATATTTGTGAATTTTGCATTGCCTCATTACGTGCAAAAATCTTTATTGACTCTCATCCTGCTTACTCCTGACAACTTTGGTACTTTACCAAATTAATATAATTCTGTTCTCAAATAATTAGTAAACGATGTAGCTCCTGAGATTTTTCCAGGAACTTTTCCAAATAAGAAGATTAATCAGTGGCTTCTCCTTTGCTACTAAATAAACTACCATTTTTCAATTAGAATATAAGATAATTTAAACACTATTAATGGATTAAAATGCTGGGTTCTTTTATAACTTTGCATTCTGAACTAATAATATATTACTTTTAAGAGGATCATGAAGTTTCACTAAATTAAAGATCTTATATTTTAAATGTGCATTTTTGAATGTGAAAAATAAAAAAATCTTGTATAAGCACCACAATCTATAAATTTCTACAAAAAAATTACTGATTCTAACATTAAATGGGTAAACTTGGAAATACTGCTAACTATACCATAAAAATGATAAAAGTTAAAATTAATGAAATATATTTTAAATTATACTATATGCTATTATTACTTAAAAATTGTTTTGTATTGTTTTCATTTTTCAGGAAGCTACTAAAGGACTGTTCTGAAGAATAGGCTGAAAACAAAAATATAAGAATTATTAGCTATTTTTGGGGGCAACAGACAAAAGTCTATAGCATTTTCATGAAAATATACTAAAAATATTTTTATAATATATACAATGTACTAATTAGCTTTAAACACTAAAATCAGATTTCTTCAAAATATAAATTTGTTTTGATTCTTTATATTGGTATGTTCTTATTTCATTTCAATAAACTTCCAGAAATCTGTTATTTGGAAGTAGATATGACACCTCTAAGTTATTGTACCAACAAATCCTAGAATCCTTTAAATGATGGAAAGAGCTTGTCAAGTTCAGATTTAAGAAGCTCTTTACATCAGATTGGAAGCATTTTAAGTATTCTTTTTAATACTTGCGGGGGGAGGGGGGCGGTTCTTATTTTCTCTATCCATTTATAAGGCTTTGATTTCCAACAATCTAAGCCATTCTAGTTTCTAATGATTTTGGAGAGACAAGATTGTTTTCACACAATGTGAGATGACAATCTCATCTCAGATTTTTCACACTGAGTTGCTGTCTTTCAGATTCACAGTAATCCCAGGAATCCTAGACTGTCCTGTATTTCTGGATCTGCCAAACACTGGCCAATATTCTAAGAAAAGTTTTCTTGTCCTTGGAATGATCTTTTGGAATAAGTCCAAACTTCTTCTCTGCCTACCCCTCCTTCCCACTCAAAACTGCCACTACTAAGAGCATGACTCCCCTCAACCCCAGGCACCAGTTGAGGGTTGAGGGGTTTCCTTAACTGGTGGATGCTTATTCACTGTTTCCTGGATGAATGAAGCATAAAGTGTGGGGAAGTCAACAACAGAACAGAACAGACTTATTTTCAAGAAGATAAATTAGAGAATGCAAAAAAGCTACAGGCTTAGTTAACCGAACTCTCTAATACTATTGAAAATAGCAATTCTTTACTCAGAAAATTCTAAAGGGAATACTTAGTTTGACAGAACTCCTAATAAAGACATTGAAGCCATATCCAGAGCCTTCCAGCAAGTGACACTCAGCAAACATTTGGGACAGCTGAGAGAATTCAACAAAGCCCATACCTTTATCTCTTGTATACCATTTCCTAGTACATTCACTTCAGATCATTGTTAATCTTACTTAGCAGAAAACATATAAACACTTACTAGGTGGTAAAATCAAATATCTCAGTGTAAATGTGGCATTTCATTCATTTGAGCAGTATCTATTCGGTGTTCCAGTAAGTAGGAAGGCTACAAGAAATAACATGCTATGCCTTCCCTCGAAGAGTTTTCAGGATATTTGGGGAAAGAATGGAAACAGACCATTTCAATACAACATGGATCACTGTCTCAGGGAGAGACAGACAGAGAGACAGAGACAGAGAGAGGGGGAGAGAGACAGAGAAAGCATGAGGTTGCTAGCAATATGGAGGCCTTAAGCCTTGTTCAGGAGAGCAACCTAGAAGGGCAGTCGAAGAAAATTGGGAGAGGACCACTGAAGGCCTAGGGGCTACGGAAAAAGTTCACACGAACCGCTGGAAAGGAAATAGTCACAACTTTAAAGGAATTGCAGGTAAGTGATCCCTGACAAGGTAGTCCTCAAAGTAATACATGAAAGCCCCTTCATGAGGAACATTTGCCATGTCCAGAGAGCATTGATACTTGATTGTACAGCACCAGGTAACACAGCACTTTTATACTCCTCTCAGTTCCAACCCTGGTGGAGTGAAAAACCTCTGTTCCTGGGATAGGCAGGGGGAAAGAGACCCAACATGGGCCATTTCATGCTAAGACTTAAAAATCAGTCTTCCTAAAGCAAATCCAGTTTACTGTTCATTCTATGATACTTCCTTTCTGTTAGAAAACTAAATTCCAAAAACTGCAATTCCAGCATCTATGGAACAAATTCCTACATTTGGGTTCTGGAAGAGATACAAAAATATTCTTCACACCAGAACATTGTAAAAGCCATAAAATTGTCCACCATCTGTATTCTTTTCTTACCTAAAGGTTTAATTCAGCCCATTGGAGTTTTTTTGTCAAGATATTTTCTGTCAGTTTTTAATAAGGAAATTTTCTAATACAAGTTATATGGCAGTAAAAGGAATTTCTAAAAATTGTTTCTTAGCCACAGACTTTGTTAAAAAGTTCCTGATTTAACTGCTTTAGGTTTCTGGCTGTCTGCTTTTTAAGAACTTTCTAGAATAATCATAATACATAATTGCTTATTCCAGATAAATTACAATTTAATTACTGCTTTTAAAAATGTTTGAATTATTGGAATCCATGGGCAATATGGCTTCCCATATCCCTTATTCATATGCTAAGCAACTTTTATTTTTGCTTTTAAATTTTTTTGCATTTAAATAATATTTCTCTGAACATTCCTGTCTTAGAAATTAATGTTTAAATTCTTAAAATATTTTTTATTGTAAGAAGTGGCTATCTAGCTCTTGAACAAGTAATAAAAATCCTTTGGTGTGTGAATGCTCTTCTATCTAAGACCTGAAATGTTGGTGAAGTAAATATGTTGTTCCAATTTTGGTCAAAGTAAGAAACAGAGAATAAGAAGTTAATAAGAATAGCTTCTTGTATTTCTCATGGTAAGAGAAATGTTTATATCTTGTACTACTCTGTACTCTTTCCTAAATTCCATCACCTTCTGATCATTGCAATGACTTCTAGATGGTCCATCTGTTTTCACCTTTTATTCATTTATCCCCAAAAGTGCTATTTAAAATACCCCTAGCACTAATAATAACAATAATCAATAATAAAGGTTTATCACATGTTCACTACATGCCAGACACTATGCTGTGTGTTCTACATGGACTCTCTCCTTACAGCAATCCTATGAGGATAACCTTATTCCCTTCTCCAAATGAGGAAACTTGAAATGTTGAAAGGTTAGGTTAAATTCCCAAGTTCACAGAGCTACTAATGGTAAAGCTGGGATTCAAACACAGACAATTTAACTCCAGAGCCCAAATTCCAACATTTAATTGCTTCCCACTTTTCCTCAAGCATGGGCAAGTGCTTCATTGGGAAGAGTTTTTAATCTGTTCAAATTCTTGGTTTATACTTTACCACTTCTGTGCCCTCAGGCAAGCTCTTAGTTTCCCTTATTCTCAGTTTCTTCAACTACAAAATGTGGAAAGTGTGGTATTTGAAGACTGATGGTATCACATATATGACATGTAACACAGTGCCTACAGGCGGTAAAATGACACACTCTTGTTTTTATTTCCATAATGTGGCCTATATCATGTCAATCCCTGGCCCAGTAAATCACTGGGCTTCTTATTACCCTGTAACAGTGCCTGGCATGTAATAAGCACCCTGTGAGTGCTAAGTATTAGAATTATTGGCTAGGCACAGGGCCATCTAGAACAAAGGCAATTTCCCAGCTTCACTTGCAGTGAGAGCGATCAACTTCTGTGCAGTGGGTTACAAAAACAGACATTATCTTGTGGTATATTCTAAAAACTGCTAAAACAGCTATTATGCATCCCTTTGCCCTTTCTTCATCCTTTCCTGTTTTTCCTGCTACATGGAGCAAGATGGCTCCTGAGACCTGGAGGATAAAGGCCAGTGCTTTTTACTGCTCCATAACTTGTGTTAGAAAATCTCCTTACTAAAAATCTACAGAAAAATCTTGACCAAAAAAAAAAAAAAATTCCAGTGGATTGAATTAAACCTTTAGGTAAGAAAAGACTAAGATGATGGACAATTTTATGGCTTTTACAATGTCCTTGTGTGAAGAATATTTTTATACCTCTTCCAGAACCCAGAGAGCTCAGCTGAAAGGAGTCTGGGCTCCTGACATTGTGGTGCCCTGTACCAGCCCTGGCTCCTTCAGGGTTTCATTGTTTTTTGGTGGTTATCCTAATCCTAAAAGATACATCTCCCGCTTTCATCAGATATCTGAGATGGCAAAATTTGAAAGGAACAAGGGAACAGAGAGTTAATCCTTCCTAATGGGAAAGGTGGACAATGCCAGGGTTATAATACCCCATGCATCTTTGAGTTACTACCTATACCCTCCCAAATGGAAATGCTTAAACTTTAATCTGAGGCCGGGCGCAGTGGCTCACGCCTGTAATCCCAACACTTTGGGAGGCCAAGGCAGGCAGATCACGAGGTCAGGAGATCGAGACTATCGTGGCTAACACGGTGAAACCCCGTCTCTACTAAAAATACAAAAAGTTAGCCGGCGTGGTGGCAGGCACCTGTAGTCCCAGCTACCCGGTAGGCTGAGGCAGGAAAATGGAGTGAACCTGGGAGACAGAGCTTGCAGTGAGTCGAGATCATGCCACTGCACTCCAGCCTGGGCCACAGACCGAGACTCCGCCTCAAAAAACAAAACAAAACAAAAAACAAACAAAACAAACAACAAAAAAAATACCTTTAATCTGAATCCATTATGTGTTGGGTTGGGGAACTACTGAAACAGTGGGAGGGTCTTGACCTTTTTCTAAGCTCATCAGTGGGCATTTTCAGCTTCCCCATGATGGTAGTAACTGCAAGGAGTGTTCAGTCTCCAGTGAAAGAAATACTAAAATTTATTCCCCCAATTTCCCCTCCCCAGAGAGTAGCTACAGACACACTGTAAGACCAAATAGGAAAAGTGTGCCATAGGGGACATAGTAGGTACAGCTACAAACCTCTTATTGCCTTACTTGCAAGTCCTAATACAGTACTGTAGTTGTTATAATTCCATCATTCTGAAATTAGGAAGATGGTCATGGAAAAACTGTTCTAAGAACGCTGTTCACCCATGAATGCTGACTTTATTAGATAAGTTTTTTTTTAGGTTAAGAACTATGTATTCTTTCAACTTCTCTGAAGTGCTTAGCACACACTTTGCCCATGGTGTTAAATAAACTTTGTAATAAACCAATGATTAGGTAGCATAATGAAACTTTTCCTATCCTAGCTTTTCGAGATTAAGAAGTCTTTTCAAAATATTACAGAAACTGCACTTTATCCTGACTTACAGCCTTAATGTTTGAAGTAGCAGTGTATAAAATTCACACCCAGTTATAGACTGAGTAATTATGGTTGCTATGGTAATGGGCTCTGTGCCTATGAGCAAAAAAAACTAATTCCTTTTGTGCAAGATATTTATGACTGTGCCCGGCTACATGGCAAGAGTATTTTCCTTTGGTTTTTCGTTACAGTAATTTATGCATTTAGGCAGATGAACCTTTATATATATAAATTCTATAAATTCTTAGGAAGAAAAAATTAATTTATTAAGTTCTTCACATCAAAAATTTCTAGTATGATTATGAGTTCAATTTTCAAGTGAAAATAATCCTTAAAGGATTTAATTTCAAATAAGAACTACAGTATAAAATATAGATTTAAGTTAATTTTCACTGTATGAAATGTACAGTATACATAGACTAACTCCTTTAACGAGAATTCTGGCATGTCTTAAAGGGCCATAGGTGGTTAGAGGGAGATCCCCAAACAAACAATTCAAAATTAAGAGTTTAAAAAGCAACAATCAAGACACATATCCTCCTAAGTGAATTTGAATTGACGGACACTGAAAAATTTAAAAAGGTCAGTTACTATGAAGAAGGCTGTGCCTTAACAATATTTATATTAATCAGATAGCAAAGTACCAAAGTGACTTAGAGGAAGGAAAATAGTAAAATACAAAAGACTAAGTTAGCAGATCATTTTGCTATCCAGATGTGCTGAAATTATGGACACTGAGAAGAAAGAATAGACAAAACTTGGCAACAGATCTTGTTATAAGATAAATATCCCATGAGTGGTATATAAAAGCCTGGAGAGAAAGGGGAAGGGTTGTAGGTGTCCTAGTTCTGACAGCTGCTCTTTCATCCTATGCCTTTAAAACAAAGGGAATAAAGAAGGTAGAAGTGGGGGTATGGAGGGTTGAATTCTGGCTTTCCCTCCCTGTTTCCCTTTGTTAATATATTGCTAGTAAACATGTCTACTTCTGGTTGCTGATGACATAAAATTCACCTCTATTCCCTGGAAGCACTATTCCATGTTGTGAGCCAAAGGGGATTGTCCTGATCTTGAAGATAATAAATCTGTTTGCTTTAAAGCTTTCACCAATTTTATTGCTGTATTTCCAACACATTTCCACATATGGTATGATATTTAATTTGCAAAAGAAATCTGTAAAGCAGGAATTACTAACGTAATTTTGCAGATGAGAAAACTGAGGCTTAAACTTGTTCAAGGTCAAAGTCACGACGTCCGTCATGCTGTAGCTCAATGAGTGAGTCTCCCATTGTTTCGTGTTGTTTTATTTCTACTTTCTCAATCCATGTACAAGATAAGATTATGTTACAAACTACTGTTTTATGTTGGTTGTATGAATTTCAATACATTTACTGTTAGAAATAACAAAAGGTCTTAGACTCCCAGATCCTGTTCAGATCAACTCTACTTAATTCATAATATAGCTGAACTCTGTTATAAATCTAATAACGATGTGGACATTAGCCAGAAGTATGATGTTGCTGAACCTCACTACTGAACACAAAATGAGAATTCACCTCTTTTCATTTGAATGTATTTCTACTAAAATATATGAATTATTTTTCTCGATTTCTATCCAAGCCCCTTCTGAAGAAACCTGGTTAACTCTAAATTGTTACTAAATCTTGAGTCTTCCTGTATTTAGCAATAAAAGTTACTGCTAATTGTAATAACAATTATGAGGAAAAATTTATTTAAATGCTTCATAGAAGGTTAATTTTCATTTAATAGAAAAGAAATAAAAATGCTGCTTCAGACTGTTTGATTTCTCTATTAGGCAATTGACCCTAACTAGTATATGGTGATTTTGAATATTAAAAAAGAAGTCATAATTTTCCAGAATACTGAAGTTTATTATTTTGAAAGCAAGTAAAATTCCCCAGTGGGAAGATTAATAAAACAATTCATTAAAATTCTCATCAGAAAATCCTATGCTTTAAATGTATCTGCTCAAAGCTGTCACTCTATGAATGGCAAAGCTTTGTTTTACTTGATCAAGAAATGAACGTGACTTTATGATCTGTATTCAACTGTGAACAGCTGCTCATTAATAAAAAGCCATTAAAGTTCAAGTCAGAACAGCAGGTCTAAAATTGTGTTTCAGGGGAAAAAAACCCACCCTTTGGTGAAAAGCCAGGGAACTGGGTTGGGAAAGATCTGGAACAGAGGGCTGTGTTTGCAGTCTGCTCCTACCTCCTGGGCCAGGTCAGGTGACGACAAGGCCAGAGTTAGCCCCAGCTGGAGAACTCAGAACAAAGCCTATGTAGGCTTTGAAAGGGGAGAGTAAGTGGTTGGCTGGAGGTTGATAGTGTGAATAAATCAAGCTAGTAATTGGGCAGAGGCTGATCAGAAGCTTTAGAGTGAGCAAAATGGTTGGACTCAGAGCAGGCAGAATTAACTATATTCCATTGAGTAAAAGAAATTCATATACCAGGTTCTATCCCTTATGTTCCACCCATTTGACATTTGGTGGTTCCCTGTTCCCACTCCACACAAGCTTTGGGGAGAGGACAGGACTTAAAGTTGCCTGTTTCCAAGAGGTGGTCCCTAAACCCAAAT